ACTAAAACACAGCCAAGACAAGTTACTTTGTGTAGACCAAAGGTCAGTTTTATGTTATTTGATACAATAACATGAGTGCACATGAGCCACAAAATGGTTATGAGGTCAGGCCCAGGGACAGAGGCTATGCTGAAAGAGTTAACTGAAAAAAATATTTCTAATAGTACCACCACACACACATTCCCACCCATCCTCCTTTCTTATGGTGCAAATTTTCATATTTGACTCATCAAAGAATGAAAAATCATGAGTGCAAATGCATAGAAGGAGTTAGTGCACATGGAGATATGTTGCCTTCCTATTGGTTGAGGGTTTTGTCATGTGATAATGTCATCATACAATGATATAATTCACATAAAATCAGGTTGGAGTTGCCTCAAGGTTAGTGGCATACAAATGTTTTGGACAGAGGCGTGAGAAAGATAGCTAATCTGTGTGAAGAGGTAAGTATCTATTGAAAATACATTTTTAGGTAATGAAAATGTTAACTTCTATATATACAGTTTATATCCAAGCTAAAAAATATTGAAAGCTGTAAAACAGTTTACTATTCGCAACCACCTTAAGACCACAATATCCCTGAACCTCAATTTGAGAACATCTAGTATAGGGCATGATAAAAATATCATTGGACTGTCGGTAAAATAGTAATTTAGTCAGCTGCTTGGTTGAAAAAAATCAGTCATCATCAAGCTGGTTTCTGATTCTTGATTGTTCTAGTCATACTTAGTTTTTTTTATAATGTGCACACTGCTGTTAGGCTATTGTATTTCCAGAGATTCATTGTGTTTTGATGCTATTAACAATTAAGAAAATTGAAATTTATGTGACAGACAGAAATGATGTACTCAACAAGTAGCGAAGTTAAAAACAAAGAGATAATAAGTTTTATGTATTTTAGTTTATTTTCAACAAAGTATACTACACAACAGTTTTGGATTTTTACCATTTTTTTCGTCAGTGCCAATTCTGGAAGTATTTGACCAAGGTAATAAAATAATTGAAACATGTTTTACTATAATAAACATGTTAATAAAAACAAAATATATATGTATGTATTAAGTTTTCTTTTCCATGTTTTTGTTTAATTCACAAGCTTTCAATTATAGTTTTAGCAGTTGGCTTCCGATGTTTCTTTAGAAACAAACATCTGAAGATGATTGCTTAAATTGCTAACAAATACATGAAACAATATAATGTCTTAATAATACATACATATCACTTGGATTATAAGCTGAACAAAACAAATTTATCTATTATTTCTGCCTGAAATATCCCATGAGCATTAAGTAACTATAAATTGGTTAGGTTTGGTTTTCATTTAGAGATGTATTTTAAAACATCCAAATGCCAGAAGCTCTTATGTTCATACCTTGATATGATTTAAGCATCCAGTGTATTTAAATTGTTGAATGGTAAAATGTTTTTTTTTCTTATATTTTTTATCTAGACCTAAGAGATTGACACTGAAAAGGCCTAAGAAATACAGTTTTTCCTTCAAAGACACAAAAATTTCTATTTACAAGAGTGATAAAGGTGCACCAGTAATGGAAATTAATCTGAAAGGTGTGTAAACATTTGCAGAATGATTTTACTTGCTGCTGTTATAACTTCAGCATCATAGAGTTAACATAGATTAAAGTAAAACTTTTCTCTGTGCAGAAAATTCTAATATCAATGAGAGTTTCAAAACTTACAGAAATTATGTATATAAAATACTGTCCTAGAAAAACCTTTAGAAGTTGTTTATTTTGTTAGGTTTTGATTTTTGTGCATTATTTTCATTTGTAGTGTTGATAACTACTATTCACTGTGATTGTTTTACTGTTTTTGGAAGATGTACAAAAATTTATTTTGTACTATACAATTGTAAAAAAGAAAATATTAGAAATCATATGTTGATAGTTTATCATTTAATATCTCTTCAAAATATATGCTGCCAGTTTTGTTCTTGTAATGAAGCCTACACTTGAATTTTTATTTTTAGCAGTTTGACTAATCAATGCTCCTTCTGCTATCCACGTTACAAACTCAAAAAACCTCAAATACTAGCAATATTTTTGTTTTCATATAAGTACCATGTAATAATTAGCCTAACAAATTAGAGTATAACTTAGACGAATTAATGAGATTAAAAAAACAAAACAATATTTGTTCATTCTTCACTAATAAGATGAACAATGAAAGTTTTCCTCTTCATGATTTCAACCATTCTAAGTACCAAGTATTTGCATACCAGTCTTTTGTCTGATTGTTTACAATTATACTCGTACTCTCAAAGATCTCTCCATGACTTTCAACTATCTGTGTATCTGCACATCAGTCGTTTCCCTACTGTTTATTATTACACTAGTACTCCTACTTTTGTCTTCAGAATCCCTCTCACATAATTGATATTAATGGAGACTAAAACTTGCTTTCAGCACTTTAAATGGTTGGAAAGTCAATAAGTAACTTAAAATATATCCAAAGAATTTTGCTGAAAACTTTCAGTTAGTTTTATGAAATACTATAGAAATTGTTTGAGGTTGAAGAGTGTTAAAATGTTTTACGTTATAATTATTATGTTTTTTATTAAATATTTTATGCTCAGTAATCCTTTTTACCATATAGCTTCCTTTAATGCACATAGAGTATTCGTTACCATCATAAGCTCACATTTTATAATAATAATTCTCGGGCTTCATAATTTACCTTTTAAATATATTGAACATTATAAGTTTGATTTCAATGCTAAAACAAGACTGGTATTTTCATTAGCAATAATGAATAGCTGATATTACCATCATTTTACGAAATTCATATGGTATCTTTTGAAATATGGGTTGATTTGATAAAGCTTCATAAGCCAGTAATATTACCATTATTTTACACAGTTCATTGATTTCTCTTGAAATCCGATTCTACATACCAGAGGTTTCATCAGTCGGTAATGTTACTGTCATTGTGCACAGTTTATGTAGTATCTTTTGAAAAATGAGTCTATTTGATAGTAGCTTCATGAATCAATAATATTACAATAGTTTTGCATAATTAACGTATTATCTCACAGTGGTCTCAGCTTAGTAACACTAATTCATTTTCATCCTTATTGATTGATTGCAAATGTAAGTTTCCTCATTTTTTTGTGTGTGCAGTAAGAATTAGAATTGGCATTAATTATCATACAATTTAGTAATAAGGATTCAAGAAACAGTGCATGTAACTACTGATAAGCTGTTTGGTACTGTAATCTTTATAAAGGCTGTGAAGTAACCCCAGATGTGAACATCTCTCAAGGAAGATACGGCATCAAGTTAGAAGCTCCTAGTCAAGAAGGCATGGTAGATTATTGGATCAGATGTAAAGATGTAAGTAAGAAACATTAATTTACATGTGGAGTTGTGTTGAAAGTGCCTTGTCAAGAGTGCAAGATAGACTACTAGATCAGTTGTAAAGATGTATGTAAAATGAACTTTGGTTAATGTATAGGATCAAGATGTCAAGAAGGAAGGATGTACTACTAGATCACCTACAGAAATATGAGAAAAATATCATTAATGTGTACATGGGACCAGAATGGAAACTTCTAGTCAAGATAAGGTGTAAAGAAATGTGTTATCGTAAAAACATGCCAAATTTGTCATTTCAGACTTGCGTGTATCCACATAACTCAACTGAGAAGGAGAAATGAGCTTTTTTTTAATGAACAGTTGAATGTACTGACCTTACCAGGAAAGTCTTAATAAATAACAATATTACATGTAGTTGCATTCTTTCTCTTTCTCACAGAGGGAGCAGTATGCCAAGTGGATGGCTGCTTGTCGCCTGGCTACAAAAGGAAAAACAATGGCAGATAGTTCTTATGATATGGAAGTCCGATCCATTCTTGACTTCCTGAAATTGCAGCAACCTGCTGAAGCTCCTATTGTCAGCCCTTCACAAGTGGATATTAATTTAGAAGATTTTATTGCACCAAGGTTTCTGAAAAGATCTAAAGAAAAACAGGTACAATAAAAGACAATGAAGTTAAACATAAAAGAAAAATGTGACCAGTATCAAAATATCCAAAAAAATGGATAAAATTGAAATAGATTTAGTAAGGTATGATTTTCAGTTAGGACTAAAAGTTGTACTTATGCTTAATTTCTATATATATTTGTCTAAGTGAAACACATAGTAAAAGCACTACTTAATATTCGTATAATTATCTTACCCATAAAAGAAAGTATAAATAAATTTATTGTGGTGAATCAGACTAATTTCTTTTGTTTAACTTAATGTAGACATTATAGAAATATTTTAGATTAATGATTTAAAATATATGATCCCTGAGGCTAATATTCTGACCATAAATATATTAACCTGTAAGAATTCTTGAGAAAATGCTTTTTTTCGATACATAATAAGAAGTCCATTTAATCTTATTCTTGGTTTCAGATTATCACCCAGATCTTACAAGCCCATGTTAATGTCAGTAAATTGAACCTTGTAGAAGCCAAGTTGAATTTCATTAAAGCTTGGCAAGCTTTACCTGAATATGGAATTTCTCTTTTTACGATAAAGTTTACAGGTTGCAAACGTGAGGTAAGTTCTTTTTTGTTTCTCTTTTTATTACTTGAAAAGTGATAAAAGCATGTAAAATTTTCTAAATATCACCTTTTATAACAGTCCAGAGAATGGTAACATGTGTTTTACAACTTATAAGTATTTTAAAAAGATTTCTTCCGTGTGATTTCTTTGGATATAAGGATTTTGATTTATTCATTAAAAAAAAGTTTTTAAACTTTTTACGTAACTAGAGGGATATTAACCAATGTAAAACTTCTTAAACACACTGTATCTTGATTAGTATTTGTGTATAATTTTATATTTAGTAAGAAAAGGTAAACAAAAGTTTACGTTTCTAAAAATTTTGTGTATTCAGCTTATTTTTGCATTAATTTTTATGTGCATAAACCAGTAAAATAATTTGAACTTAAAAAATATAGTATTAAGCTTAGTATGTCCTAGGTTAGGCTTAAATGACTTAAAAACCATTATGTTTTTTGTTTTTGTGATAGTGAAGCACTGTAGTAAGCAATTAGGATATGGGCCACTTCTTTCTTTGAAAACTTTATAAGTACTAGCAGAAATGCTGCCCTACAGGCAGTTGTTTGTGCTAGTAATTAATAATAATAACATTCATATCCCATTGAAAAAAATTTTAGCAAAACTGAACATTTTCTAAAAAAATAGAGGGGTCTGGAAAGTACTGCACAGGAAAAGTGTTCGGATTGTGTTGATATAAACTGTAATGTTTTTACATATTAGAAGTGGTACCCTTTATTGAAAGAGCTTTATTTTTAAGAGCTCAATATTTTTAATACTATATTTAGAAATTACGTCAATAAAGATATAATCAAACCCTCACATACAGTCCTAGTGAAAGTCGTGTTTTTGTTGTGAGGAGAATATCTTTATTTAAAATTATGTTCTGTGATAAAGAAATGGTTGTTGCACATACTGTAGTTATTTTTTTGTTTGAATGTTGAATACCCAAAGTGTGAAATTTTGTATGGATTATTGTTTGTGGTGCCATTCAATAGATGGCGCTACATTGTATTTATTTTTTCGTCTATATACACAGATACATATATACATGCTATGTCCATACATGTTTTCTCTCTGAAGTTGTTCTAGATTGAGTAAACCTTATACTACTTAATTAAAACAGCTACACCAGACTTACCTAGATTGACTAGTACCATCCATGTGACTGTTCATTTCAATTTGAAAGTAAGGAAGTTTATAACATCGAGATATCACCTGACCTACCATTGGAGGAAACTGCTGTCCACTTTCATGCACAAAGTGCATTTTTACAGCAATATCCCCCACAGGCAGACCAGATGTTATATTAAGAGAATGACAAAAAATAAAAGTAGGTGTGACAAAAGAAACTGAGCAATCTTCTTGACTACATGTTATGTGAAAACTAGAATTGGGTACCACAAAAAATAAAGTATTGCAGTATACCATGGGTTTTTAACAAATACTGCAGTATGTACCACAGTATATCTCAATCTCAACAGTTCATTTTTTGGTGAGGAAAAAGCTTAGAATAGGGTATATACTTAACTTTACTAAGAAAATAATATATTTATGTGCTGTGAGCCATAAAAGAGCAATGAATAATAAAGAAAGAAAAATTAGAGATCACAGACTGATTTATGAAATTTGATAAACTGTCATAATACAAATAATAAACTGAATACTTTGAAGTGACTAGAATTAAACATTGTGATTTTGAAACATTTTTCAACTTTCAATTTAAGAATTCAAACTATATGTCTGTGCCATCTTGTGCAGTTCTGTCAGTTCACAAGTGTAAAAGTACTACAAATGGGTAAAAAAAACATTTAATTGTAAAACTGTTTCAATTGGTCTTACTACTGACTATCTGTCACTTATAAAGCGCAGTAAATGTCCCCAATAAATTATGGTTACAGAATTGACTTCATGTTCTTTTTTTTTAATATTTGAGTGTTCAGATGTTTATCCTTTAAGATTGCCCTCTGTGCTGATAAGATGTAACCAGCTGTTGAGGAAACATGCTCTGATGATACACTTGAACTCATTTTATTTCCACCAATTAAGTAAGCTACTTTTAAGGCTTATTAGTGATTCACTTTTATCTTGAATTATTTCCATCTATGCTAACTCTGGAATTAACTTAGCAGGCTCTACCTGCATAACATAACATTCCCCAAGAGATCATGTAAGTCAGACTTAGTGATATTGACAGTAAAGCTGTTTGGATTGCTGCTAGTGTCTTTATTATTAGGTAAGGTTGATAACAGACCATGTAGCAAATGATAGTAGTAGCTCATTCCTTGGATAAGACACTGGGTCGTCTTGATTTTATGTTTTTACTATTACCTGTTTGGACATTTTAGTGTATACTCTAACAGCTTTCTCTGTGAGAAGTGTATACTGAGAATTTTTCTTCACCTGACAGGTAAGGTAGCAGTTTAAAGTGGGGTTGTCAGCACATACTATATTTAAGATATCAGTTTTATCACAAGATCTGCCTTCATGATATGTTTCATTTCTACTATAGTTGAGGGGTCACCTTCCTTTGGCAGAATAATACTGTTGGTAAGCCAATAATGTTGGAGATGATTCACTACACTAAACAACATTACAGTGATGTCCTTCAAGGGTTTTAGGGTAGCTGCAATATCCTCTGCCAGACAGATATTGTCATCATTTAGGCTCTTTATATCTTTGTCTTTAACATGAACCAACTCTTTTTGCTCTCAAGGTTGCAAAATAACTGGCTGCATATCCAGAAACCTAGTAATCATATCATAGGCTGAATTCCATCTGGTACATGCATCAATTTTAAGCTTGTGGACAGGTAGGAATAATAACTCAGCCTTGGTCTTCAGTACTGCAGCAGCCACAGCATTTCGGTAAAAGAAACTGACAATATGGCAAACCGAGCAAGGATGTGCGATATACTTTTCAATTTAGGTGCCTTCTGAACTGCAAGTTTTATAGTGTGGGCCAGGTAACCTGGATACATTCCATCAAACTCTGAGTGTTGTCGGCAATTTCCATTTAGTGCCTGCACTCTGAATTACTGCTGCAGTGTTGATGGTTGAAAATGAAGATTTTTGCAAAGCTGTGTGCAGTATTGTGTTATTGCAATTGATTTATTTATGGCTGGAAAGCTATGATATGTATAAATTGTGATTTATAAATTACACCTGTGATGATCAGTTTTATTTCTAAATTTTATGTTTTATCAAATATTTAATTTTTCCAAGTAATTCAAACATATGTATATCAATATATGTGATCACCATTCATTTATAATCAATAATAATTTTTAAATTGATTTTCTTAAAGTTTAAATTTAATAGTTTGTATTCTTGTCTGTGCTAATCATTTTTTTTATGTTTTTACTATTTAATTTACCATTAAAAACTTATCTCCATCTGTGATCACCATTAACCTTTTTTTTTTTAACTAACTTATTAAATTGTTTACTAAACTTTATTAAATATTTATGAGTATTATCTGTATGACTTTCTGGAAATGGGTGTGTTTGGAGAACAACGTTTACTAATTCCCAATTTATATCTATGAATGTAGTTGTAATAGTGATGTACTATTTTGTTGACCTTGATGTCCACCCATCGCTTGTCAGTGCACCCTTTAAAAACAATGAACCTTTAAATCTAAAGCACTAAATTTTCAAACTTATCTTATAAGGTATACCATCAAAATATTGAAATAAGTATAATTTTTAACATAATGATAAAAAAATCATAATAGCATACTAATGCTATTTACTAGGTACTTATTTTCATGTTTTTTCGTTTTTTAAATTCTGTATAGCTCCTTAACTTTTGTGTCACTGTAAATTAGGTAAATTATATTAATGAATATACCTTAAGTCTTTCCTAGACTTCCAACTTAACTTCCTGGTAAATCTTTGGAACTGTTACTTCTAAAAACTACTTTCTTGAAGGTAATGTGTATCCAGGGTCTAGAGTGGCGACAAGCTCCTGAAACGCTTTACTAAGATCCTTTACTATGTATCTGGCCATTCTAGTTGTAACACACTTGCTCTTTGTGATGTTGACTTGTATTTGTTCACATTCCTAAATATACCAGTGATTGTTGGGTTCCACTTTTGTTCACCAGAGCTTGTAGCAACAATGGTACTATCACAATATTTTTTGGATGAGGGTTAAATTTTACAGTCTAGATGATAATGTTTTTGTTAGTTTTCATCAACAGTGAATGATGTCTATGAATAAGCAAGCAGGGTTAAATTTGAAGTCTCACAGGCAGCACATTTCACAGCTGCATCGCAACTGCTACAAAATGCAACATTTTCTTCAATTACATTGTCAGGATTTCTTTTTCTTTAACCCAATCAGATTTTGTTCTATATTCTTTATTATTTCTCATTAATCCATCATTTTTGTTTACCTCACTGAGTCACGTGGCAATCATATGAGGTGCAAAAAGTATGGTACAAATTTTTATAACAGCACAAGTATTCATTGAAATTATGTTTTATTTTTTCAACTGCTCAAAAAAATGTATTTAGCTTCATAAAACTTGTAATTTTTTTCTCAGGATTTTCTGTAAATTCCTCATCCAAAAAAAAACTGACTAAGTACTTGTACAGCTCATACTCAAACCAGTTTGTACCACAGCAAACAATATATTAAAATATGAAAGTGGAAAATGAATAGTATGTCTTCATATCACAGTATTATTTAGTCTCTACCAGTATTGTAAGAAATGTTTCAAGTAATAATTATCTTCACAAGTATTATTGAAGTTGTTAAAATTTATATTAGCTTTGAAAATATTGTAGGAATTGTTGGAAGTTTATAAACATTGTAAGAATTGTTAGAAGTATTATTTAATCTGTAAATATTGTAGGATTTAAAGGAAGTAATTTTTAGCCTTTACAAGTATTGTAAGGATTGTTGGAATTATTCATTAGCCTGTACAAGTTTTGTGTGAATGTTTTGAAGTATTCTTTAATGTTTATTATACGAATTGTTGGAAATAGTCTTCAGTCTTTAAAGGTATTATTTGAAATAATAGTTAACCATTAAAAGTAGAGCTGAGTGATTTAATTTATTACCTATAAGCAATGATTATGTCAATTAGTGCTACGTAAACTAATTATGTAATCAAACTTATGATTAAATCAACTAATCAAAATTAGTGTTTCTAGTTTTTACTATTTTTGAGTATTTTAACAATTAATTAATAGAAATTATGATTAAATTTATTGTATCAAAAAATTAACTAATAGAAATTTAGATTTTCAGTTATTACAATTTTTGATTATTCCAAATATTTATATAAAAAATAGAATATTGCTATTATGTTTGTTTTAAGCACAAAGCAACATTATGGGATATCTGTGCTCTGCTCAATTTTAGCTTTATAAGTTGTTTTTATTTTACCTCAAGTTTATTACTTTGTTAAGTCTTGGTGATGTGGGGGGTGGTCTTGATATGAGGGTATCAGGTTTGAAGGATTCTCATTGCCGCCAAACTTTGTTCATCATATTTTTGTTATGACAAAGCTACTAAGGCTGGCTGCCAATTTCACTAATTTTGAACTTCTGACTAGAGGGAACACAACTGTCTGATAGCACCTACTGCCAACTTTTTCTTTTCTTCTTGAACTGCTAGCTGTTTTTTTTGTGGCTTATACCCATAGTGGTTTGAGAAACACTGTACCAAAATTGATAAATCAAATTTAATGAATTAATGGGGCTGTTGATTACTCAATTAGCAAATACCATTAATTCCTAGCTCTTCTTACAAGTAATGTAAGAATTGTTGGAAACAGTAGTTAACAATGAAAAGTGTTCTAAGAACTGGTCTTAAACAATGAAATTTGTATTTCCAAGAGTATAATTTAAAAAATTTTTCAGGAATTGTTGGGAATAGCATACAACAGACTAATGCGAATGGAGTTTCACTCAGGAGATCTTATCAAAACTTGGCGGTTTAACACCATGAAAGCTTGGAATGTTAACTGGAATACTCGAGAAATGATGGTCCAGTTTGAAGAAGAGGAAATTGTATTTAGTTGTTTGAGTGCACACTGCAAGGTGGTACACGAGTTTATTGGTGGTTATATATTCTTGTCCATGAGATCAAAAGACCAGAATCAAATGCTTAATGAAGACCTTTTCCATAAGCTCACTGGAGGCTGGCTGTAAGTCATATGGAAGGTTTTGTCCAGTCTGGAAAGTTTCAGAATACAAAAACAAAAGCTTCAGGTGATGCTACATTAGGAATTTATGAGCATTTCAAGTGAAACATAAACCTTCAGATTTATATTTCTCATTGTTACTGAATGTTGAATACTTAATGTTTGAAGATGGGAGTGTTTTGAAGCACTTGTAAAAGTCTATACTAAAATATCCAAAGATCTTTCTCAACCTCATCATAGTGTTACTGGTTTTTTTAAGTTTGTTCCTAAATTTATTGGATAAAGTATAAAAAAAACTTCCAAGGAGTAAATGTATAGAGATGGAGTTTTTTTTTCTTTGTTACATCGAAGTTTGACAAGAGTGCAATGTGAAATTTCATTTAAAATTAGTGTGCTTTAGCTTTACTGTTGGAGAAAATTTGTATTAGCTTATTTCCAATACTGACATTTTTTTATAGCATCAAACCAATTTTATTCTTGAACTGTTTATTTGGTTTGTGAAATATTTCTATGTACATTTTTTTAGAAATTTGTCTTAATATGGTTTTTTAGGTAAGCAGATTTGAAAGAATTTATGAATTTACATCTTTTCCAAATGGTTATTCTTATTTCATTACATGAAAATAGTTTTTTCCACATTTAAGTAATTATTAAATGTTGACCAGGCTATTTTTAGCTAGTGTTTTTAGTAATAATTTCCTTCTACTATTATTTTCATACTGTAAATGAATAAAACTTCTGCTCTCATCTTTAACAATGTAAATACTTTTGTCATTTCATTTCTTGCCAATAGGATTAATATGCAAATCTGATGGTCTTCCAGATGATATATAGAATTCAATGCTTTTTTTATTTTATAACCTTTATTTTAGATTATTTTTTAAGATGAACACAGTAAAAGTGAGTTTGGGCAACTTCTGGTAAATGAACAGTGTTTATTAACATTGAATTCAAGACTTGAGATGATTTGACTTTTTAAGAGATTTTGAAATTTAGTAACCAAACTGGTATCTTTTGGGACCAAACAGTAAGGTTCAAGCATCCATCTTGTGCTCTTTATCAGAATATTGGATGAGTTGTAAAAGTATTTAAATATCCCAGATAAGATGATAGCAGGAATATTGAAAAAATTATTTTGCTAGGTGACATGTCTGCTTGTAATGTGATTGTTTCTGAAGACTCCATGTTGTAGTAAAATTTGCCTCAAGTGCTTTAAAAGTTGTTTGCAGTTTTTAAGTATTCTTTAACATTCCAATAATGGATCACTTTTCCTAAGTTGTACATCCAAAAAATATTTTTCACATTTGTTTTTAGTGTTGGAAACAAGAATAGTACACGTATAATATACATAGATATTTATCGCTATATCTGCATTCCTATACTTACAACTTAAATGTTCAAATCTACTGGAAAGTGAACTTAAAGAAAAATTACCTTTTAATATTAGCATACTCTTTTTACCTTATGGCACAAGTATACTGTTTAAATGATATGGATGTTCTTCCGTCCTTTGTGTTATGCTGCAAGTTAGTTTTGTTATGATTTTTGAAGAAAGTTTGGAAACTGATTGGGATATGTACCACGAGTTTCCTGTTGTGGCTTCTTCAACAGTATTTGGTTACTTCATTTGTTATATTAGAAAGAGATGACCCTAACGTGTCAAATGATATCAATATTACAGTTCTAAAACAGTTTATACAAGTATATATATATATATACTTATGTATTGAGATTTTTAGTGTTTCATTCTTATCCATGTACTGTTCTCATATAAATTCAGGCACTTCTTTAAAACTAAGCATGTAAGACAACATTAATATGTATATTATATACTATAATAGTCTACTTGTAACAGCATAGTTTGATATGTGGAAGTTACACAGGAAAATTGTTTTCTCAATTTGATATACAGATGTATTTTTTGTAATTATTTCTTCCCTATTTTATTGGTCACAAAGTAGTCTTTACAGTGACCTATACTAGTAGTCCTAATAATGGTAAAGTACAAGTATAGGATAGTTTCTCCATTTAATGAGGAAATCTGATTTTTGTAGTGATATTTAATAAACAGCAATTTATAGATGAAATTGTGGTTGGAAAAATAATCTGTACTCTGTATGTTAATATTTTATGAATGCTGAAGTTTCTAGTATTTTGTTTTTGTTACTTAAGTTGAAACTTTTTCCCTTCTTTCCCCTATTGCTTATTAGCTATAATTTAGTTTTAGAGTTGCCTTAGATTGGCATAAGTAAGACTAGGAGACTCTAAATAGGAAATTAATAAGGTTGGTATCATTTAATTTAATTGTAGTTAACAATACAGTACGCTTAGTCAAGAATCTTTTCAATTATAACACTATCATGCTGTCTATATTAAGAAGGTTGTCCATTGCCTTCCGATCTTTACAAATTAAACATGTTCTTCCATTCTATTGTTCAGCTGTATTAGTTAAACCATGCACACTCAGATGTGGCCTGGTTATCCATATTTAGTAGTAGGATATATCGAACATCACACAGGATGTCATAATATATTTTCGTACTAAAGACAAAGATAATTAAATATTTAAATTATTAATATTTTTATATTGTAATATGTCATATGCCAGAAGAAATAAGATAAAATAACTCGCTGAAAACCAAAACCAACAGTTTGTACTTTTCTTCACACCAAAGCAAGCATGACGCATGTAATTTAAAAGTTGAACTTTTAAGATTTTGTAGGGAGATTCAGTCCAAGTGGTTGTAACTTCATATGTTAAAATTTTTTTCTGTATTGTGCTCTGTCATTCAAATATTTGGAGAATTTATTAATATTTGTAGAATTAATGATATTAGTTAATACATAAATATGTAGGTGTAAAACTTTTAATAATAATCAAGGGATAATAAAATGGTAACAAACACAAGTTTGTATTGAATAAATTCATTGTTTGATAACATTGCCTTTGTCAGTTATAAAAGCTTTGGTAAGATTTGTCTGTGAAACTGTATCATATACTTGTTTTGAAATTATTGTAACCTATTTTCTTTGGTTCAAAATAGAAATATTCAACAGATGTAAAGTTATTCAAATAAAAATGCTCACAAAAGTCTATTTTTGAAAATAACTAATTAGGCCCATCGAGTTTAGAACTAACAAAATTATGCATCCCTATGCTCTTTTAATTAAGTAAATCAGCCGCAACCCAAAACAGTGTAATGTGTTGAAAACAAATGGAAGGTGGACAACTTTTTAAAACTGGGCCATGTACGTAGTGCCCTACACGATTTTCTGGAAAACCAAAAATACATTCTTTATACTTTAAAAGTTTGGTTATTGGGAGAACAGAAATGAGCAACTATCTGGAAAATATCGTTTTATATGCAGTATGTGATACTTGTCAATTTTAGGCTTAGAAGTGAATTTTGATTGTTATGGATATTTGTGTTTTGTAAACAAATTTCATTTAATTAATGCAATATCTTTGTATGTTTATGTTTAAATATATTTTAATAGTTGTCCAAATAATGAAGGATGATATAAGAAACTGAAGCCATGTTGTTGAGAACTATAATAAGGATAACTGTAATAACAGATGTGTATAACATGCAGCTTTCAGAGGGAATTACTTCTTTACATAATTTGATGTGTTAGTAAACATGTCTACAAATAACATTTTATATTAAATCTTAATACTTGGTCTTAGAGAAATTTTTAAATGACATTAAAGTAGTTGATCTCATGCTTAAATTTGAGATGTTGAAGAATCAAATTACAGTAGTTTTGTTAGTAACAATTTTTATATAGAAAAAGAATTTTGTTTGCAGAAAAAGATCAAAGTTCATGTTAGTCAGAATGAAAATGTTTACTTGTTAAGGTGATGTTATTACTTTTTGCTGTTACCTTGTATTTAGAATTATTTTCAGTATTACAAAGTGGTGCAGTCTGTGCAATAGAAAAAGTTTTGTTTGGTTTTAATTAAGTTTGTGAAAATTAATTTTATGTAGTAATACTTCACAGTTTTTTAAAAAAGAATGAGGAAATGTAGGGAGTTTTGTTGTCTGCACTTTCTTCTACTAACTAAACCGAGTAACCTGGGGTAAAAAAACAACAATCAGGCCTTGCCTTTAAGTCCTGTTTATTTCATAAGAAAATGATAATGAAATAATTCACTATTCCAATTTATAACCAGACATTCCAGTTGTAAAGTTCCCTGTCATGTTTTAACTGTTAACAGGCTGATTAACATAAAAAATAAAGGCTCCAAACTCAAAGTCCAAAAATTGTTTTAACTATGAGGACAGACACATTTCTTCACTTAGAGTGCCTATAAGAATTTTTGAGGTTTATTACAGCAATGAAAAAATTGGATTTCACAAGAAGATAGACAGCATGTTTATTAATATAGTGAAGACTAGATTTCACAAGACAGATAGTATATTTCTCCCTGGGATACACTGAAACAATGTAGATAAAAATTGATAGTGAATTTAGCATTAAAGTAGATGGTTTGGGGGAAGATGGGGGTGGATATCTTGTAAGAAGATGAACAATATGTTATCTTTGAAACCTATAAAGAATTGTTCCACAAAAGAAAGTGGACAACAAATTTATATCTTTAGGGTATTATAAGAAAGTGCTGATTTGTAAATTTTAATATTGAACAAAAATGCCATGGAGTCATTACTTGTGAAAACTATTCAGTATCACCAAGTTAAACAATTACTTCAGTAATATTGTTGGGTCATTTACTGTGGTAAGTAGTGTACTCAGTCTACACAATGTATTTTTGTAATGAAAAATACTGGAGTGAACACTGAACACTTATATAATCTATTTTTATAAAATAAAAGTATAGGGATACATTTTTTGTTATTTTAGGTAAAACTAGAGTACTGGGCTAATCTTATTGATAGTTCATGAAACCCAGGGATCAACATCACTAAATACTGTAACAAGTTTTCTGATAGTAATACCTACTCATTATCATCATAATACTGAGGTAAATTTTCTCTCCAGTGGTGAACATCGATAGAATCAGAGTAAACATGTTACATTATGTACATTGTAATTGACATATCGTATTTTGAAGAAAATTTTAGTTTCTTAGATTTTTTTTGTGTGTTCAAAGCACTTGTTCGTCACAATTTTTGTAGTAAGAGCAGATGTTAAGTGTGTTAAAATGTCTGTAATATACCAGTTTTCTGGTTTATTTTGAGACTTCAATATTTAAGGGCAAAGATTTGTCATTATATGTAATATATATATATATATAATAAATGTACTGCTCCCCACGTTCATATTATTTCTGTACTTGTTAATTACAAAATGGTGTACAAGTGCCTTTGGTTGGTCATTTTGTTTCTTTATGTGTGAATTCTCTTTCCAGTAAATAAAGCCTAGTTATGTGTAACTTTTCCTTATCATTAAATAGCTCATACATAATAACATGTCTTTACATTTGTAAAATCAGTTTTAGGTGAACAAGTACATTATTAAAAGCATACGAGAAAAATGGGTCCCATGCAGGATTTTTTCTCCTTACAAATATTGAAATAAGAAAATTATAATGCATAGCTCCCACTTTTAATTTCCCAAATATTTTTAACGTTCCACTTGCTTATACTATAGTAGGTTATGTAAATCTTAGCTGTTCTTCACTGCAAGTAATTGAAAACATTTTAAACTCTGAAAGCAATACAGCTTCAGACAAAACACGTGGATTGTAATGTTTCAAAAATAGTGCTTAATATTAATAATTGTGAAAATGTTGCAGAAACACAAATATATTATGTTAAGGAATAACTATTATGTTTCCTTGTGTAGTTACCATCATTTATATCCCAAACAATTAATAAAAAAACCCTCCTACTTTCCAAAGTAGGCCTATCAAGATAACACTTGAGTTCCATCTAATTACTGTAAAAATAATAAAAACATTTACTACTACAACATAATTTCATGATTAAATATGAAAAACAGGTAAGAGAAAATGAAAAGTAAAAAATAAACAAAGTAGGTTAAGTCATAACTAACAAAAATAATGCAATCAAAGCCATTAGAAACTTTCAGTTGAGCAAAAGAAACATAATATTCTACTTTCACTTAATTTGTATTTATATTAGTGCAAAATACATCCAATATTGAAAGAAAAATAATATGAAAATGTTCTGATGCATTTCAATAGCTTAAGTTTAATTTAAAAAATGTTGAGCAATGTATAACAATAGTCTCAGTTAATTGTGACAAAAAATGAGACAGGAAACTAAATCCACACCAACTGTCAACTTTAATTTATTTACACAGTAACAGTGTAACCCTACTTTCAGATAAGATGAACACAAAGCACCAAAAAGCAGGGGAAGACAGGGTCAAGCCAACGGTTACACTTTTTATGTATGTATATATATATATATTTATGTAAATATAACCTAGCAAACTGTACCTTTATAGTTGAGAAAATAAAAAAGTTTTTCTTATGAAAATTGCAATGTATAAGAAGAAATATTCAAGCTCAAAAAAATAATAAACTTGAAGTAGTAGCAGTACTTTTTATACGCAGGCATGAAAAATGGCTTGAGATTCTTACACAATTCAGGTCAACATCTGTTGAATTTCACTAACTAACAATCAAAACATCCTCAATTGAAGAACATGCATAAATTATTTTGTCCAACTAGGAACTAAGTAACTATACAATGCATCATCAATGAAGCAAATAAAAAAAAGGACTGGACATATTTAGTCTCACAGAACAAAATATGAAAAGAAACGTGCTTTGGCTATCAAACAAAACTGATAATTTTGAAGATCTGATTTAACAACTGTGTGAAAGTGCTTAAAAAAAAAAGCACTTGCAATTATTTGGCTATGTAATAAAACTCAAATTCTGTATTAAGCTCCCGTGCAGAGCTAGCTGCCAGAACACATCACTACCGATAGTAAATACATAACTACAAGAAATAATTTGCTTTTGATTGTGACCTAAATAGTTGCAACTAAAAAACATTTTAGTACCTAAATTTTAAACCACATCACTAACCTGCAAGTCAAAGCCAAGCAATTTTTCCAGGTTATAGCCAGTCTACTTTGAATACAAGAAATAAAAAAAAAAACAAGCAAATTATACAAATAATGAACCACAAGACACTGTCAAGTTTTGAAATATTTTGTTCTTACTTCAACTAATCGTTTATCCTACTTTTCCAACATAAAGATCACAGAGATGATACACTGGTGACAAGGATGATAATGATGAAAACATGATGCTAAATTACAGAAGCATAATGCCTATTCTACAAAGATTCTAAATGGAACCTTATTACCTTACAGAATGTCTAAACTGTTTGCAATCCTTATGAGAGAAAAAAAAGACATCTTATTACCTTGTTAAGATCTACCTTCCTGTTGCCAGAGCATTACAATATAGTACAAAAATTCTAATTACAATGTTAATTTAGCAGTAACAGACTTGCCTTTTCTACAGGATGCAGTTCTTAAAATGGTTATTTCATGATTTACTGTGTGAAATATATATATATATATATATATTTATATACTTAATATATTAATGACTTAACAATTTTGCAAAAAAATATGTTCCTTATAAACTTTTAACACTTTCTAACTGATCAATATTTCACTTCAACATCTGCTTTTGTCATCATATCTTGTGTTACCTAAGTTAATAAGGGTTGGTTGTCACCCCATTATTAAAATTAAGGTTTAAATGCAAGCAGAAATTACCATTATTATATCAGTAGCAAGTTCACACAGTTTCAAACAAATTCCAAATGACTTGTTTGATTTGTGTAACATGTCTTGAAAAAGGCATCAATCAATATAAAGGTGTTTATCTTAAAAATGTTCTTACTTCCTGTAAAACAGATTACTGGTATGCAACTTCCCTTAAAATTTGTTTAGATGATAGACAGATGAAATGTACTAAGAGTATTATTAACTGTATACCAATGAATGACTTTTCCAGCAGTATTCCCCCCTCTTCTATCTTTGTTTTTCTCACAGTTTCAAGTCATTTGCTATTTTTGATGCAATGTTTTTGAAACCAATAGAGGTGCCCGATATACGTTTAAACCTAACTCCATTTAGTGACAGCCGGGGCAACTTACACACCTCTATTTCCCACTGGACCAACGAGTCTGTGTTAGGGTCACCATGTACACACAACAACAGAAATTTCTCTCGTTGCTCATAGTCACAATTATTTTTGTCAAGGACCTTGCGAATTTCCTGCATAATTTCGTTTGGGTCTCGAGAAGAGGTGGTTTTCATGCTCCAGGTGAACCTCAGTGAACGTGGCTTCACTTGGTCATCATTCATGGTTCTGGAAAACAATAGATTTTTGTTAATCATTCACAAAATTAGTTTATAACAAAGTCTTTTAAAAAAACTTTAACAGGTCTCTGTAAATACACAATATACATTATACAAAAAGAATCTTGGAAGCAAAAAATATTCAAGAAAACAAAACACTTCTCTACAAGTAATAACAAGACACCTAACAAACACATTTTTGAATTATTAAAATACATTAGCATCCTATAAAAAAAGGATTAAAGCTATTCTGAGAACATTACAAAAATAAGACATAACACAAAACTATCAAATCAGTCTAACTACTTAATACTGAGTATCATTTGAAAAAACAAATTACACAAGTCACAATATCATTCAACAAACACCAAAACACAGTAGTGTTCAAATGTTTACAGAATATCTCTGCTTAATCTAAATACATGATAATACAATTGCAGAGAAGTGACTGAGAAATATAAAAAATAATAAATTAAAAGGATTGGGTTTTCTTTTTGAAATAAAAGTTTCAAAGTTTGGTGTAACTTTAAACTTATTAAGGCTAACAAACATCGAAACAAAATCTTCTAATTTGCATGAAAAAGATTAACTAGTATAAAAGAACATGGATTTTTGATGCATAAATACTTAATTTTATGTTGCACAGTTCTGTTTTATATGCGTATTCACTAGCCTTGCCCGACCCGACAAAAACTGGTGGAATGGAGTTTTAGAAAGCTTTGTTCACCAAACTTACCCCTTTATCATAAAAGAAAAAGAATCATACATTGATAAAAAAAAAGTTTTTCAACTACACTCTCAAAAAAATCAATAAAAATGGCATAATCTTAAATTGAAAATGAGTCATAACTTAAGTATTACACACACATTTATATTTTTTACTTTTCAGTTATCAAAAGATGAAAGTCCCAAACCAACATGCCAAAGGTTTATGATAAAAATTCTATCAAAGTTTAAAACCTAAAAATTAATTTCAAGTACCATCACTAGTTAAGACTAATGGCATAACATTTGAGAGAAAGAAAAAAAAAATGTTTTATCCAAAAAAGTAATAATAAAACTGAAAAACGTTATGAAAATCTAATAGAAACATATGAAATATAGTCAATAACCTTTAACTTAGATATTTTTAAAACTCATTAAGAACTTTAAAATGACTACATCAAGCTAAGTATATGCACAAACTAAACAAAAAATTTAAAAAAGTGGAATTCAAGACAGTCCTTGTGAATGTTTGAACTATTATATACACACTAAATACAACAATATCAGGTCATAGTTTTGTTGCTAAGCAACACAGATGAACAAAGCATTACCAAAAGACAACTGGCTTTTATACACATTAGATTAGTTATGTAACTTCTTTTCCGAGAAAGATAGTTTTATACACATTTTATGGTTAACAAACCAATTTTTAATATTATTTTCTACCTCTGTACTGTAAATTATTGCACATCAAGTTTTAACAAAAATTTTTTCTGTTTAACCAATTACTTGTGATTTACTACTACTATAATTAAATATATCTTTTATAGCTAACTTTTGCATTTGTTTAATGCAGTTTATTCATCCATTGTTATTTCTGGTTGGTTTACTTTGATAATATTCTGCATCTAGTTTAAAAGCAGCCATGTGTTTTTCATACTCTACACTGTACAGTCTTGTTAACATTTTGTAAACTGGTACTCTTTCAATGGTCTGATTATGCTATCCTTTTGTGAAGTGTTAGAAAAAAAAAATAAGTTATTGTAATTTTATTACCCTTACAAATAAATAAACCAGACTGGCCATATAATTTCAAAATATTTTCCACCCACTTTCCAGTCAAAAATACATATTTTCAAGTTATGCACACGTACAACACATTGATAGTTAAAGTTTTCCTCATAATTCTACCTAATTGTAATCTACTTATAAAGAATAATAAAAACTTCACAACATACTTTAGGCTACATTACAACTGAAAGTGTTCCTCAAATAAAAACTGGAACTTGTTGGTAGGCAATAAAATGTTTTTTTTCATAAAAGAATATCAAATGTATTGAATTAGATAATTATCACCAAGACTACTTAAAAACATACCAATAGCTGGCATAATTATGTAATATAGTTCATATGCATGAGAAGGTTGAGAAAAAAACAAAGGGGAGGAGGCACAATCTTCCCTGATTGTTTTACCCCTTTTTCAAATTCCCCAATTTTTCTAGGTTTCTGGGCACTCTGTACACACACATCACAAATAAGTTTATTATATAATTCTGAGAAAATCAATGAGATCAGGCATAATTATTTTATATCATCAGAATGTTTGACAATGTTCACAGAAACCATTAAGAAATCAAAGGGAAAACATTTTATAGGTATTTTCTTATTATAGCACCTCCATTCAGATTCAAGAAGAAAATTTTGTGGTGTTGAATATATTGGCAACCCCCCACACCCCAGGCCAAGTTTCCTTGGACTTGCCCATGGCATACTCACATGCTTATAATGTACCCTCTGAGGAGCAAATACTATATAAACCAGAATATGTGATTTAAAATTTCAAGTAATATTACCAAAGAATGTGCAAAATAAATCTAGTCAACTAAAATTTAAGCATCATTCTAGTAAATACCTAAACCAATTCCTCTGTACTTATATTACAATAAACAGAAAATAAAATGAGATTCAACTTTTATCTCCTCACCGCTTACTGAACTTGGAGGAGAGTTTACTGAAGAAAGACTGACGACTTCCAGGAGTGACACTTGACAAGTCCTGAGTTTGTATGGGTACTGTCCCAGGTCCATTATATGCACTTGTATGACGCCGCTCTCGAGTCTGACCACTGTGGAAAGTGCTACGATTAGCAGTGCCTCGTGGGAAAGGTCTATTGAGTGAAGAGGCAGGTGACAATGTGTCGGGTTGCTTTAAAGCAGATCCACTACATGAAAAAAAAAGAAACACGGTTCACATGCTTAGGAAACTTCAAATTTTAAACACAAAAGCTAATTCTTATTTTTCAGAACTTACTTTATTTTGTGGAAAAGCTAAACTGTACCTACACATAATATTTTAAAAGATTAAGGTGGGATATCTAACAATTAGCTATAATAACTTACAATGTTTTCCTAGTAAAAAATAAGTTTTAAGAACAGTTTTTATATTTGAAAATTTTTCATCCTGAACTAATAAAACAGTGCTTTAACTATTTTCCTACGAGGCTAGGCAAATTGCACCTACAACATAATCACCAATGTAATCCACGAGATTAACCATCCTATAACTTTTGATAATATATGTGTATCTTCACAAAAGTTTACAGATTACCAGTAAACATTTCAAGGCTTTTGTATACAAAATATCAGATTTTTGAATTTAGTATTTTAATTAAAGATGAATTTTTGCTTTGGGAATGTTGACTATCCAACATGAAAGAAATTTTGCTTTTAAGATTAAAAATACTTTTGTTCTTCTGAAAATTGTCAAATTTCATTTGTGTAATCTCTATAACCTTTTAAATAAATATCAAACGTTTGTTTGAAAAACTTTATATTTTATAAATTATTTTCTCTACCCTAACTCTATACAGGGTTGGTCACTTTTACTGACCTCTTAGCCACAATAAAAAAATCAGGAAACAAATCTAAATGACCATTTTTTCTTTCTTTCAAGAATGACTGCAATTTGTAACAGGAAATCACAATTGTTTATGCTAAATAGCTTAAATCTCGTAACAATATATATATATTTATATTTACTGACCTTTGAACTATCTCCAACTAATAATCCTACCACACAAGTTGTCAATCATATGGCACACATGCAGCTCATATTACCATATAGAATAGCATAAAACTGACTTTTGCAAAGTACAAATGTCTTATTCTTATTAGTCTTAGTACTAAAATGCCAGTATTTTGTAAAATATAGTGACATTTTGGTTACAATACACTACATTTGTGTGTGTGTATATATATATTATCATTATTATTTGCAAATAAATTCTTAAATTTCAGTTATTTTTCTTAAAACATAGAACAGTAAATAAAAAACATCTAAAACAATTATCCCTACTACTTATGATGTTACAAAGCTTTCATACTTGTGCATCGTTGCTAAGCCTAGTCAACTTTTGCACATGGAGGATATAAAAAACTTTTTGTAGGTTTCATATACCGTATTGCCCCCTAATTATCATCACCCCAGTATTTTTATAAAGCCTACCTTGTAACAGCAATAGTGATCTAACATATAATCCACTTTTAATACCGTAATTTTGATTAGAAACAAAATGAAGAAAAATAAACACACATACACACTTATTAGCATTGAAATGAACAAATCACACGTGAAAAATAGAATCTGGAACTGCACAAATACTATAATTAGCTCACACCCCCTGCAGTTTGCAATGCCCCCATGGTGTTAATTAGGGGCAATACAGTATTCATTTTGGAATAACCAAAAATGATAAGTTACTATATACTGATACCACAAAAATCCACTGTAATTTAACAGGCTTCCTAACTAAGCTATATTTTGGTCTTAAAAATCTTATTTCTGATCAGGATGTCACCTTGATCACCACTCTTCAAACTTTTCAACTGTTATAATGGTTTTACCAGTGTAAGTAATTTAGGAAGATTGACAGGATTGAGTAGTTCAAAATGTGAACTTTCAATTGGTTATAAACACGTACTTAAGAGAAGTACGCGTAGGTAAACAAGTATTTTCAAGAGAGGAAGAGGTGGGCAGAGCCACTGTGGCGAGTTCCCTAAATATGATGATATCTCAGCAAAAAGAAAAGGTAGGAGGTTCTTATTTTATACTCTAACTTGTCAATATTGGTAATTTGAGTATCTAATTCAATAAAAACTATAGACTTTACATCATATGACACCCTCAATACAATCTGAACAAAAGCAGAAGACAATATTTAGTATTTTTTTATATTTACTTTTGAATTAAAAATCAAATAATGTACAATATTGATAACTTGAGTTTCTAATTCATTAAAAACTATAAACTTTACATTTTATGACACCCACAATACAATCTGAACAAAAGCAGAAGAAAATGTACCATGTGACACATAAAAAACCAATATTTAGCTATTTATTTTTAATATTTACTTTTGAATTAAAAAATTAAATAATGTATGATACTAAAAATTGCATTATAAATTACAGTTTTACTCCAAATTTATGGACGTACATGTATAAAATAATGGTTTTATAAAACTTTGAATGTGAGTATATGAAACGTGATAACATGAACTCTGACCCCTGCCCATATTGAAAGGGTTACACAGCAACCACTTCTTACCAGAAAACTTAGTTAAAAACAAGACACATAAAAAAAAACATTTTCTCAAATCAGTCAAAAGGTAACACATTCAAATATTTTGTTTGTGTTTTAGAGCAAAGCCACATTGAGCTATCCACTGTGTCCACCATAGGGAATCGAACCCTGGATTTCAGTATTGTAAATCCATAAACTTACCCCTGTCCCACCAGGGTACCATTCAAAACTTGTATCCCACTAAATTTCATGAAAATATTTAAAGATCATCATTTTTCCTTTTTAAACCAATTAAGATCAAAGTTGGTTGAAAATCAGAGCTGACAACACACAAGTAGACTGCATACAACATTTGACTTGGTTTTAAGAAACATAGGGTCACACTACTAATACAATTAATTCAAACTGTGTATGAATTTACTTGTTTGCTTTTGAATTCCTCCAACAGTTCTGGAGATAGCAGGATCAAACTTGGGGTGTTCTTATTTATATATCATAGCCCCTCTACCAAAGGGGCTAGAACATGACTGGAAGGTCACTAAAGCAAGATAGGGTCTAAAAGTATGTTTCCAGGGTCACTGGACCTAAATCTGCTATTAAAGTTTGTGTTCCTGAACTCCACTGGGATCTCAGAGGCATCATGTTTGAAACTTACAAGTTAGCAGTACCAAACTTGGCACAAGTGCTCAGGTACTACAGGGCAGATGCCGTAATGTGTGTGTTGTTGTTTTTTGGAGAGTGAGTACAGATTCCCCTTGAAGTAGCTATAAAAGTAATTGGGAATAACTGAGGAACTGGATCAGCACATTGGAGCCTTTGAATCCCACAGTGGAAAGCAGGTATTTCATGCTAATTAGAAAAACAAAATACACAAGACATTCAAAATAAGAAAATTAACACTGTCAGTAATGTACATGCATCAATGGACTATTGAGTAGATAATATAGCAAAAAGACATTACAAAAAATAGTATTTGTTTGGTTTTCCTACATTACCTTCCAGAAGGTTCAATGTGGCTTCTCTCACTTGACAACCCTTTGCTGTCATAATTGCAGGTGTTCCGTCGAGGAATGCCACTAATGGTCTTTCCAAAGCCAGGAATGTTTGCAGAAACTCCACTCATACCTGTTTTTCGGACAGACCCGTATCCTTTTGACGGGCTTAATGTCATTGATGTATCAGATCCTGATAAGCAATTACACATTTAGATAACATAAACAAATACACATCAAATGAGATTCTGATTGATTTAAACAAATCAGACAATATAATTCAATTCACCTCATCACTAATTTGGCAGATATTTTGGACAATTAAGTTTTTAGAATTACATTTACATCATCAAAAATTAAAAGAATCTGCAACCAGCTAAATTATGGAGTCACTCTTTAGTATCAAAGTTCAGATTAACATCTTGATCAAGGCCTTGACGGTTTCCACCAACCCCATACAGCAATGTTTACTATGATTTAAAATTTATGTAGTGTATCTTTACAAGATTTGGCAAGCTTGCAACTTTTTTACAACTTCTATAAATTTAACTTTTGTTTTACTTGCTTTTTGAACCATGCCTAACAAATAAATTAGCATAACAAAATAATAAATTACCTAACAAGAGCATAGTTCAAATTACAGTAAACATAATATTGAATTAAGTAACACAGGAGCAGTTCATATGTATTACTTAGATAAAAAGATTTTAATTTCATTTAAATTCCTTAACTAACCTAATAAGTTTCTAATTTTTAACATTTTAGTTATAAATTTTTATTATAAATAAAATAAGAGATTCAGTAATGACATGTAGGGTGTTGAACTTGATCAATGTCCTGTTGACAATTCAATCTACTTGTTGTATGTAAACTTTATTTTTAAAAATTGAAATATGCAACTTATAGTACATGCACAAAAATAGGATGCCCTAAACTATCTTAACTGGCTTTCTAATTTATAATTGAGTTTAGAAAATTCCATTACCTGGCCAAAGTGAACACATCAATGGTAAACAAAGAAACCAGGGTGAAAATTTTCAAAACCTGTTGGTTGAACAATTCTATTCCCATAAAAATGCAGTAAATTAAAATTAAAATCTTCTCTGCATATTAATTATAAATAATCCAATAGTATGTGTCACAGAGAAGTGTTTACATTTTTTGAAAAGCAGAATGTGATAGGAGGGGCATAGCATGTGGGCTTCAGTTAACTGTATATATCTCTGTAAAGCTAGCTTATAGGTTAGAAATTTACATTTTAGCTTAGGATAACCTATACTATAAGTGTGTAACTGATCAGAAACTTAGAAGATCTATAGGAGTAGAAAGAAGACCTAAAATGGGCAATTTGGAGAAAAGAGTCACATGCTACAGAGAAGTGACGATAGAGAATTTATTTCCTTTTGAAATTAAGAAATTTAAACTAATATAATATTTGAATTACAAACTACATTTTGATGCTAAGTTTACTGACATAAAATAATAATAAAGTTGTTTAATTAATGTTTGCATGTAACTCTTTAAAATGTCATGTGTATTTTGACCGAGCCATACACTTTGGGTTAAAAAAATGCTCAAAAGAATATTGAACTTAGTAATATAATGTAATCAAGACCTTAAGTCACTTAGTTAAAGGAACAAACAAAGGTATAACTGTGAACTGTATTATGAAATGGCAGTATAAGAAAATAAAAAATTACCATTTATAAAAACAATTTATCTACAAATGTTACAGTAACAAATATATTGATAGAAAAACTTTAACATTCTTAGATTTAAAAATTGACCATGTATAGAAAGTTTTTATTCAAAATTCCACATTACACATCTGCTAATAAAGCATATACTTTATACAATATTATGTCAAAATATACTAAATGGACATTATTTGACCTTTTATATTACTGCACATCAGATTGTTTTACCTAAAAGTTATTTGTATTGCTCCCATATTTTTTAGATTTTTAAATAGTACTTTCATATCATATCACTAAAAATACTGGTTTTTGTGACGGGTTTCTGATTTTGACATACAAACACACATCTTAGTTTCAACTCTTCTTATTACAATAACCTTTTTAGCAGATGATCATACAGTACCTGATTTAGAGTTGCTTTTATCCATAGCATTAACAGCACCAGGGGCAGTTTTTACAGTCCGTGGTCCTGATGGTGATAAGGTGCTTACTACAACTGATGGAGAAACACCATCTTTAGGTACCGGAGCTGATGGTTCGAGAGTATTCTGTCGTTTATAGGTAGATGAGCCACTTGAAGGAACATTCTGGTTTCCTGGAAATAGTTCCATAAGAAAGAGCTCCAACAAAATTCACAAATATTGTTATAGTCCAAGTGTGAAAACAAGCATTATTAAATCTCATGATATTAAGATGGCAAACATTAAATACTTGACTATACTTAAGAGTTTTAAGTTTAAAGCTGGGCATTACTACATTATTAGGTGGTTGATAGTTATTCAGACGAGTACTTCAAACAGTGTAAAATGTACCTATTACAGCATACGATTAGAAAGAAGTGATTCTGACAGAAATATAATTGTATGCTTGTTGATTTTCATGCAAAGACACTCAAGGGCTACTTGAGCTAGTCATCCCCAATTTTGAAATAATAGAGTGAAGACACACTCAATAAAAGTCACTAGTACAAGACAGTGTATTTAGTTTCCTAATTGCAAATGTCTCTCTAACACTCTCACTACGGGCTCAAATGAATCAGCGAGTTCATGACCCTAAATTAACTGTTATCGTTTTCATACTATAATTCCAAATGTGTTTTGTGTATCTTCAAAAAACTTTGCAAGCTTTCAGTAAACAATGAGTCTTTTGTATACAAAAAAATCAGAATTTTTATTGAAGTTTTTCACTAAAAATTTCTCCATGAATATAAGGGGTCAAAGTGTTGACTGCTCTGAGTGCAAATTTCAGTCATTCTAAGAGCAGCTCAACAATAACATACAACAAATCTACATTTTTATTCTTTAAGTTACGTCACATTTTGAAATGTGAATGATAGTGTGATTAATTCCTAACAATTTAGTATAGAATATCCTCCTTGCAAAATAAAATTTGGCATCAACATTATTCATGCTTGTTCACCTGTCATTTCAAAAGTGAAAGTTGAACTTTGTGTGCATAGCTTTTCAAACGGGAGACAGATGAATGCTCGGACAGACACCACAGTTCGCAATAAATAAAATATTTTCTCTACCCTAACTCTATGAGAATGGTCAGTTTGACCAACCTCATAACCACCATAAAAAAAAATTAAATAAATAACATTTTTCTCTTTCTAGAATGGCTTCAAATTGTAGCATGAAACTAAATTTGTTTATCCTAAATAGCTTTAAACTCATTACAGTATACAACTGTTTCTACTCAAATTCTATTGTTTTACTGCCCTTTGAACTGTGTCTAAATAATATTCCTGCCACGCAAGTTGTAATTTACTTAGCGAATGTGTAGCTCACGTTACTCCATTGGATTACAGTAACACAGAGACTACTCACAAGTGTACCTGATAAATTTTTATTATTATTTTAACTCATCTAACCTAAAAAGTTTCTACTTTTTACATTTTAGTTACTTCTACAATAATAAATAAAGAATACATATGAAAAACAAGAAATATAGTACTTACCTGGGACTTTTGTTTTTTTGCTGTCGACTGTTGATAAAACTCATCTTAAACCTACATTTTTATACTAATTGTACTACTGCTCTAAATAATTTTTTTATTTAATTAAATAATGCACCAAAAAACACAGAATAACAATACATAAAATGCAGACTCTCACAATTTTTCTGGCTTTCTATATGTTAAAAATTCAGTTACGCTCGTCAATGTGTTTCTCTCAGGAATAAAGTTTGAACTCGAAGCAAAATAGAAAATTCTCTGTACAGAAAACAACGTAATATATGTCATTTGATAGATTAAAACTTTGATTTTTTATTACTTATCAATAATATAGTATTAAACATCAGAGACAACTACTGGCAATTTGTGAAAGAGACAATGTGACAGGTGGGCATGACAAGAGGGGTCTGATTTTCTAGTTTATGGCTCTATAACCAAATAAGATTGAAGGCTATAAAATTATGCTTTGCCTGAGTGATGACAACATTATAATGAGTAATTGAAGTTAAATTTCATACTTTTTGGAGGGGTTAAAAATAAATTAGAGAAGATGGGATGACTAGAGAGCAAATGTCACAATTCTCATACTAGGGTAAATTGAGGTGTCTTTTTCAATACTGCCTTAATAAATTAAAAACTTAAAACTTATATAATATTAAAATTTTGATTATTAGCTACATTTTTATGCCAAGTTTATTTGTATGCCATCATACAAAAGTACTTTAATTAAATTATGAATGTGTATTAGAAAAAAGTGCTTCAGACTATAATCTATTGGCCTATTGGAAGTAAATATGCTATAAGAAGGTAAAAATGTATATTTGCTAAAAGAACAGATATGAAACTCAATTCTTGATTTGATAGAATGCATACAAGCATTATCTATTTTGATAATGTTATGCTATAGTGCAGTATATTGATGATTAATAAAAAGAAATGCTGAAAAAAATACAACATAACTACCCTATATATTCCTGACAATGTTACCATAAACACAGAATCAATTTTTTTCCCCAATGTACAATGACAAATTAACCCTTTCCATACAAGTAGGGGTCACAGGTTTTGAAAGATGTATTCAATTGACAGGCACCTCATGCAGGTCAGTGACCAAAACAAATAGTGTTTTTTTATTTGTTGGGTTTTTTAAGGTAATAATGTTTCTTAACTTACTACAAAAAGTTGTTTGAAAATGAAGTAATATGTTTATTTTCCTAAATAAAAATTCATAAAGAACAGTTTTGGATTAAAAAAGTAATTTAATTATTGTTTCTGAAGCCAGAGGAAATCCTGTCTTCATATTTTTTTGCAATCATTTTCACAAAATCAATTATATATGTTAATTCTATGAAAAGTTTAACAACTTTAACTCAAAAATATTTTAGAATTGATATCTTGTGAGTTTTCTAATATTTATGTACTGTAATTCACAAAGCAAAATGAAAAAAATTAAATTTTCATTTTTGCACAGTTCAGAGGCAAAATAAACAACCTTTTTGATTTAAAAGACTTCCCCTCAACCCAAACAATAGCTATTTGCTAAAACATTATCACCTCTTAAAAGAATATTAATCATTTCTTGATGTTCAAGTTTACCCTTATCTTTTTATGCTTTTTTTTTTTCAGGTCTAGTTGCCACCCTTTTTATGATGTCACATCAAGTAGTTTGATCATTCACTATTGAAACAGCTATAAAGTATAAATACAACTGAATAGGTCAAAAAGTCATAAGAAAGTAAACGAAATAGTTTGAGCAGTAATTTATGGTTTAGTTGAAAAGTTTCTAGTCAGAGGTCCTGTAGAATTGGCCAAAGGTATTAAACAGGAAGTTTTGAAAGAAATAAGTGTGAGTAGGGAATTTGTTTAGTTTCTTTAAAAGTTCTTTTCATTCATGAAAGTGTGTGTTAAATTATATCTATTCTAAAGCTACAGAAATTTTCTTTGATGAGGAGAAAATATTCTTATGCCTCAAATCTTTCTTTAATGAAAATTATTTTTATGTTAATAATAGTCAAAATGTATAAAAAACTGGCTAATAAGCTACTTAATTATTTCTGATGGCAATCATGGTATGTTTTAAATAAAAACATAATTTGTTATAAGTGATAGTAAAATGCTTTCATTATTTGATTTACATAATATCAATGAGAAGGAGTCACTACATATTTTAAAAACAAACAAAATGACAATTTTGTTCTTGTCTTGACATCTGTGATTCACCATGTGGAAAATGTTAAGGTTATCCTAAAAAACAGCAATAAACATTTTCACCAAAATAAGTTTCTTCCTACAAAATGTGCAATGGTGAACACTAGTAGAAACACTAAAGGTGTGTATGATTTTAGATGAAGGGTAGTTCATAAAAAACTAACTGAAAACAGGAAGACTAATCACACAAAAACGATAAATTAGTTGAATTTAATCTATTAATAAGCTCAACAATTGATCGATTGGCAAAATCTACCAATCATCCAGCTCTACTAACCACTGGGTTGTGATCAGTCCTGAATACAATTAGAAATTTCACTATTGTATAATACAGTAACAGAAGAATAAAGATAATCATGGTACAGTGACAAGCCTATATTTGTTCTCTAACATAAAACATTTGCTAACTAACCTGGCTCCCCACTGTGACTGAAGCGACGAGGCTTTGTTGTTGCAGAAACACTTCTTTGAACTTTAATATGCGAGGGAGACTGGCTGCTGATTGTGCCCTCCACCACTGGTCGAAGAGCTCGAAGTGAAAGACTTGAATTTGATCGTGAATCACATATTTCATTCTATAAAATATATCATATTTTTAAATCCTCTGTACTAACAAATGATTTTTCTTCAGTGTCTTAACTAAAACTCTCTCTCTCACATATTTTGTTCTCCTTAAAAATAATTTCAAATGTAGTCTAACAACTAACATAAACAATGTTTAAAATATTCTGGTTGTTTCTAGTACAAAAGTACATAATGAGTTAACCCTATTGCTATGGGTTTCCCTATGATCAGAGGTGAAAGGGCATGTCATCACATTGCAGACATACATTCAAATTGTAGATTATAATTTTGATTTTAGTACTATACATTAGTTAATTCCTTAATTTAAAAGTAAATATAAAAAAAATCCTAAATATTGATTTGTGTGTGTCATATAGTATGTTGAATGCAGCATTGGTTTAAATTAGATGTCTGTGATATCCAAATACAAATCTATAGTTTCATACGAATTAGAAACTCAAATTACCGATACTGAAAAGCTAGAATATAAACTAAAAACCTCCTATCTTTTCTATTTGCTGAGATATCACTAAATTTAGCCAATAAAACACAGAGGCCCCACCCACCTCTTCCATTTTTGGAAATATTTGCTTACGTACACTCATTTCTCTCTTTCATCAAAAGCTCAGAATTTCCCCCAGATAGTTTACTCAGCCTCTAGAATGTGGGAATTTCCCAAGGTTATTTCTTTTGTCTCAAATCTCAGAAGGAAAGGGTAAATGAAAATGTTTTAAAAAAATTTTTTTTAGATACAAATTCAGTTTAGTTAGTACGCCTGATAAATCAAAGGGGAATTCTGCAATATTGATAGGGTAATTTATCATAGTTGGTTATTTCAAAATACATATATAAAACTTAAAAATGTTATTTTGTTTCAACATCCTCCATAAGCAAAATTTGGCAAGACTTAGCATGCAAGGTACTGCAAGCGAGTACAAGCTTCTTTACAGTTATAAGTAGTAGGGATCACTGTTTTCTATATTTCTTTGTTTACTGTTCTACGTTTTAAGAAAAATAACAGAAATTTAAGAGCTTATTTATAATGTATTATAACCAAAATGTGATTGTATTTTACAAAATACTGGTCCACTAGATCAAAGCCAAGACAGGTCACTTTGTAAAGGCCATGTTTTGTACTATTGGATATGGTAACACAAGTGCACGTACATCTCGTAATTGCAACTTCTATAATTTAGTCAGACACTGCTGACAGGTGAATAAAATAAAAATAATAAATACATATAGATGTATAATGTTATGAGAATTAATCTATTTTGACTAAACATTTGTGATTTCGTGTTATAATTTGTAATTTATATCTATTTCCTAACATTTTATGGTGGTTATGAGGTCGGTCAAATAGACCAAACCCATACAGAGATACAATAGTGAAAATAACAGATAAAATATAGATTTATAAAAAAAACGTTTGATGATTATCTGAAGGTTATAAAGATTTTGCATATGAAATTTAACAATTTTCTTATGCATAAAACTATCTTTAACCTTAAAATCAAAATTAGTTTGCATGTTAGATAGTTAACATTCAAAAAGAAAAATAAACGATCAAATCATTACTTAAAAAATCTTAAACTTAATTTTAAAAAATCTGATATTTTGTGTGTGAAAGCCTTGTAATGTTTACTGATAATTTGCAAAAGTTCGTGAAGATACACATACTGTATTAAAACTTATAGCATGAAAACTATAACATGGGTGTTTATTTCTTTCTAATTAAGCACAAAGTTCTGCCCACCACAAGTATCAAAACCTGGTTTTAAGCAATGTAAGTACACAGACATACTGCTGTACCATTGGAGGGCAACAAATGGGTTTGGCAATGGATTTCATTTTCTAGTTTATGACTCCATAAAAAATTAAAACTGAAGGCTTTAAAAATTACTGCACCTTAGTAATATCTATGTTACAATGAGTAATTTACATTAAAGTCGTACTTCAGAGAGAGGTGGTAAATAAATTAAAGGGAAAAGACCTAGGGAACAAATGTCAATTCTCATACAAGGGTAGATTAAGGATTTATTTAAATATTTCCTTATAAAATTAAGAAATAAAACTTATTAAAATATGATTTATTAACTACATTTTGATGTCAAGTTTATTCTTATACTTTGATAATTAAATAGCTCATTTCAACTTTGAATGTAACTCTAAAATGTTGTAACATAATCAGTTTGACTTGCCTATTGCAAGAGGGTTAATAGATAGTAGCAAAAATGTGCACGGAAAGAAATTATTTTGCAATATACTTTTACTTTTTTTTCACAAGAAATGGAACCAGTTAGAATGAAGTATTTAATTTAAAAACCACTATCAGCCTTATTGTAATTTTATTAGTCTAATAACTCTAAAAAAAATCATAGTTACCAGCTTTGACATTCTACACCATGAAAATCCCTTAGAAAATTCCCATGATATTACTGAATGTTACCATCTGAAAGGTCCAATTCTAGAACCTATTTTTAATTATAAGTGACTTCACAATCTGGCAACACCTGAGATAACGGTAATTTCTAGATACAATTTCTTGGAGTGAAAACAACTTGTGTACAATTATGATTGTATTTAATCAAGAACTAATTTTAATCATTTCAGTGACATACTTTATTTTCTCAATATTCTGTTAATTTATAAAAGTAAAATAGAAATAGTATTACCTCTGTTGGCTTTTTCCCCAGTAAAAGATAGTTTGCCATAATATCGTCATACTTCTTATTTTTCAAAGATTCTTCAAGTTCTTCCTTTGTGTATCCCAAGGTCTGTAGCATTTCTGTAGAAGTTGAATGCATAAAAAATAGACAAGAATGAATTTAAAACTTTTTTTTGTTTCTTTTTAATGAGAGCAAATTACAACATAAAGTTTCATAACAAATTCATCTAATCTTCCCCTCAAATTACCAAAAGAATAAAATTATAACTTAACTTTTAACCCTAACTTTGATTTTGAGTTGTTGTTACAAACTATGTAAAATTCCTCCTGCATTTTTGTTTTATAGCTTCATAACACAATCATAATTACACCTTCTCAACTTTAGGATTATTTTCTTTCTTGCAGTCTATTTGCCATTAATGTTCGTCTCTACCTTATATGGATTGTGAATTTCTAAACTACCTTCAAATAACCTAAGTATATAATGGCTTTGTACTGTTTGAAAAGGTAATAAATTAATTTACTGGGTTTTCCTGCACCTTTATTTTGTTGAAGTAATTGCTTTGGCAGTTCAGCTTCAGTATACAATAACTCAAGCTGTTGTAATTTGAGACTAGGCCAGAAGATGGCAGGATGAATGGAATTTACTGTGCAAAAATCACTGCCAACAGCTTTGAGGTGACCTTAGGGTATTTTAGAAACGTCTGTAAATAATTTCTAAAAGGATTAGAGATAAATTGTATTTGCATTAAAGCTAAAGATGATATTTTATTGAAACAATTATTACCACAAAGAGGGCTACAACATAACATTAGGCCTGTAATTACTAAAAGAGCATATGAAATATGGGCTTAACGACATCTCTTATAGGCATTATGCATTAAATCAAACAGTTTAAATTTATACCATTTAATGGTATTTATTTCAACATAAATTATAGAGTTACTAAAAAATATAAAATTTAGATTTAAAAAAAAGTCCAATGGTTATCATATAGGTGTCTGTGTTTCAAATAGGGTAATATTAACTTTACTGGTCAGATTCGGCTACTATAATTTTAATGGGCAGATTTTGGGTGCTCTTACTTTATAAAGGAAAAAATTAAATTGAAAATGTTTACTTGCAAACCAAAGAAAAAAAATTTCCTTTAGTTCTATAAAAAAAAATTGTTTGATGTTTTGTATTAAAGGCTTACAGAAAAGCTGAAGTATTGTCTTAAATACTAAATGACAACAAACATTTCTCTCTCTGCTGTTTTCCTAATGGTTAAAAATAATTTCATATCTTTTATATACATATATTTAGATAAATAATAAGTAGATTATTAAAGTCGAATTTATCAAAAAATTATACTTTTCTAGCATTCAAATACACAACTCCAGAAAACATTTCAGACACCCTGTATGTAAGTTATTCTGATTTTACTTAATATCTAACTAGAGTAACATATTCATTTATTTATTAGAGCTTGGTAGTAAAAACAGTTTATTCCTCAGTATGATTAACAAACCAACCTGAAAATCTCCTTTCTTGATAGTTTGAAAAAAAAAAATTTTTTTTTACAAATTGTGGCATTTGTGAGAATATAAAAAACAATCAGGATATGAGTAGTATTAAACAAGAAGGTTTTTACAAGCAGGCAACTATATTTTTATTCTAATGAGGTACAATGATTATATTGTTTTTTACAATATTCTGCAAATTTTCCACAAAATGTTCAACATGCTGATACAGCATTTTAAATGTAATTACCACTTATATATAATCCTCATATTATATAATAGATTCTGTTTCCAATACATTCAAATTTTGTACTATGTGAATTTTCACTTGTTTCTTGAGTTTCATATGAGCTATAAAGATCCAATGTGAAGAATTTTCATAGAAACTTTTTTACTGAATAGTACATACGATCATGTCCAGTGAAAATATTATTAGTATGCCAAAGAAACTGGAGATTCAAATTTGTTCAATTAAATATTTATAATGGGAATATTTCTTGGTAACTTTCTTTTGAAGCACATACACAAATCAGCATGACTATAAGACTTCAAAGTGAAAGGATTAAAACTGATGTATTAAAATATACAAAAACAAAATTTTTAAATCTAACAAACAATTTCAACTGAATAATTTACATAACATTTCTTCAAAATAGAAATTTACCTATTCTTCTGCCATCTTTCATATCAAACTCTGGCTCAGTGTAAGGCTTGAGTTCTTCATCTTCATAGCCTATATTCATCCATTTATCTTTCATGACTGTCTAATTAAAAACAATTGTTTTACTTAAAAAAATTCCCCTCGTAAACCTTTAAGATCTATACAGTAAAACTTAATATTAAACTGTTTCATTATACAAGTGAAGGATGTGTGTTTTACAAAATAAAGTACTATTTCTTCATTGACTTCTTTCAACAAACTGACTTGTCTACAGGAGGAGTTAAAGTTAAAGTGTAAAAACCAAAAACAAATATCTTATAAAATATTATGAAATTATTTTACAGATAGCACTTATAAATTTACAAAAGTTCATTAATATGTTTATTCATTACATTAAAAAAATTCCTTTTCAAACTCAGAATACAAAAAAATTCCATTAATGTACTAACTTGAGCTTCCAATTAAAGTATTATTTAAAAGAAAGTAGCATGTGTACAATTTTTTAGACATACTATACTTTATTCTTCATAACTATGAAAATTTCAAATCAACAACCTAAGTTTTTAGACATACTGAGCTGAAATTGTAATGTGATAAATTAAATAGTTAAACAAAACACAACTGCAAATATAATATAATCTTATTTGTTAAAACCTACTTCTAATGATGCTCGCTTTGCAGGATTTAAAACTAGAAATTTCTTTAAAAGATTTTCACAGTCAGTTGACATATAAAAAGGTATCCTGTACTTCCCACGAAGCACTCTTTCTCTGAGCTCCTAATGAGGAAAAAAGTTCAAAGCAGTTTCTCAAGATCAGAGTAATAACAAAAACAATATTTTAAATAAAAGATTCAGACCTTTTTAATAAAAACAGACACATCATACACCACACTGCTAAAGAAATTCAGTGATGGGATCATAAATACAATACTTTAACTTTTCAATTCATGTTATCACTTATAATAACATTAAAGATCTAAATCTTAAGAAATTCTAATTTTAGGTGTAAAGACTACTACCTGAGCACAACAATCATATGATGTAAGCTTCTATATATTCTCAATACACATTACATATCACTTTTGAAGAGGCTCCCACGCTTGATAAAAGGTTTTCTTTATATAGAAGAACAGGTCTTGCTAGATTCTCTGTGTAATTATGAAAGTTACACAAAATCCATTATGAATTCTTACTTTAAGCATGTACTCTCCAATATTGGTATAAGAAATTAAAAAATTGTATTGCTAATTAATTTTCATAAACCAATGTTCAAAATTAGATACTGCCCTTGGAACAATGGTTACACCATAGCTAGCTTGATCCACAAAATTTAAAACCTCTGAATGGCTATCACTTAACAGTATAAAAGTAAGGTTCTAAGATCTGCTATGGAAACAAATATTGCATAATTTTTACTAAAGAGCTTTTGAAACATCACAATTGATTGTTCACATCATTTGTAGGCTCTTTCCACTTCACTGCTTTGATTTTGATGGGAGAGAACAGTATAAAAACAGTGCCACTTTTTCTATATGGTAGGTACATAATTATCACTAGGAGTGTGAGAACAGTTTTGAAATTCACAATTAATCTATCTCACTGGAAAAATGAAATACATAAAAAATATTTATAGCTAGCAATTATTAACATTTGTGTTTGAGATAACACTATGAAGTCATTAATGATACTAAAAATATGCAGTAACTAGACAATAAAAAGACTCTAAGGATATGAACATGTTCCAAATGAATGACTATTTTGAAATTTTACTAATCAAAGAAAAAACTTTTCTATAAATATAAAACCCTCACTTTACCATTACTAAGTACATCCCAAAGTTTCTGATTGTTCATTACTTAATCTTTTTGGTATTCTAGCATGTTTCAACAATCTTTCATCAAGACTTTTTAACTATTGTGAGCTGCTTCATAAATATAGAAGATAACAGGTAAGCAAGCTTAATTTTACTGATTATCTCTTTCCACACAGGCTCGGCTGCATTCACCAAGTTTGTAACCATTTCGTGCTCATTATAGTTTCCATACTATAACCTTTAATACAGTACATGCAACTCCCCAAAATTTGGCAGACTTTCAATAAACATTACAAGACATTAATTATTCTAATTAAGTATTTTTAATAAAACCTTGTCCGTGAATATATTTAGTAGTTTTGTTTACTAGTTCAAGTACAAAGTGACTAATGTGAAGATCAAAATACTTTTATTCATCTGAAAATTTTCAAATTTCATTTGTGATCTCTAAAACTGCCTAAATAATTAAGTTATTTTTAAGTATAATTTTATATTTTCTCCACCCTAACTCTATATACAAGAGTTGGACAATCTGACCAACATTGTAAACACACAAAAGAAAAAGATTCAAAGTAAATCTAAATTACTTTTCTTTCTAGAATGAATTGAAATTGTAACATGAAATTACAATTGTTTATCCAAAATAGCTTTAAACTTGTAACAGTATACATCTATTTATAGTTAAATTTTGTTATATTGCCCTTTGAACCACATCTAAATTAATATTCCTGCCACAAAATGTGAAAATCAATTAGTGAAGATGAAGCTCATGTTACCCTATTGAATTACATAAGGCATGGGCTACTCACAAGTTGCTCCCGAGCATACCTCATGAAAATTATATCATTATTATTTATTTTATCTAATCTAACATTATCCAACCTAAAAAGTTTCTCATTTTTACATCTTAGTTACTTTTATAATAATAATAAATGAAGAATACACATTTTGTTGTTGTTGACTGTCAATGAAAGTTAACCCTACATTTTTTTTCTAATGGTACTACTGCACCACATAATTTATCTAATTAAATAATACACCAAAGAACAGTGAATAATAACATACAAAAAGCAGACAATGTCCTACAATTATTACAATTTATCTAGCTTTCTAACTATGCAACAAGTGCCCTTAAAAATTCAGTTTAGCTCGTTGATGTGTTTCCCTCAGGAATAAAGTTTGAACTGGAAGCACAATGACAATTCTCTGTACAGAAAACAATGTAATATAATATGTCATTTGATAGATTAAAACCTTGGCTTTCTATTGCTTATAAATAATATAGTATTGTGCATCAAAGGAACTATTGGCAATTTTTGAAAGAGAGGATGTGACAAGTGAGCATGGCAAATGGGGTCTGATTCTGTATTTGATGGCTCTGTAACCAAATACGATTGAAGAATATAAAAATTATACTTTGTTTGAGCAATGACAACATTATAATGAGTAATTTATGATAAATTTCATACTTTTTGGTGCAGTTGTAAAAAATTAGAGAAGATGGGGTGACTAGAGAGCAAATGTCACAATTCTCACACTAGGGGGAATTGAGGATTTTTTTTAAATATTGCCTTATAAAATTAAGAACTTAAAACTTATGTAATGTTAAAATTTGAATTATTAGCTAAATTTTTATTTATAAAGTTTATTTATATACCATGATAAGAAAATAATTTAATTAAATTTTGAATGTAACTCACTAAAAGTTCCTGACATACACACAAAATAATGCCTGTTCTGAAAGTTAAACTATTTCTTTTTTTAAAGTGGGTCTAATATCCACCTGGTAATTACAGGGTTAATCATTATATTTACTGTGGTTTACAACTAAAGCAACAGTTTCTACAACAAAAAGTAGAAGTGAACCTTCAAATGTGGACATATGAGAGTTGAAACTGTATTGCATGGATGGATATTTTTGTAATTTGAGAATTACCAACCTAAAATTGTATTCTAGCAATTCATGATTGTAAAAAAGAAGGAGGAAAGAAAACACACAGTTTGGAAAATAATCAATAAAAGACATGTAATAAATAATATGCTTAATGGTTACCTTAAGATTAGCTCCATCAAATGGTAGAGACCCGCTGACTAGTGTGTAGAGAATTACTCCTAAGCTCCACACATCAACTTCTGGTCCATCATATTTTTTGCCTTTAAAAAACAATTACTAATAATAAGGTGGCCTTTCTGTTTCAGGGCTACAATTACACTAACAAATCAGTTCAATGAAAAAATATAAAACATAATGAAAAGGGTGGTTACCAAAGTCCCAAATTTTACTTTTTACTTCACAGTTGTAATAGTATAAGAGGGTACTAGATTTATTACACACCATACCTATAAAAAAAAATATTATAATAAATTTATTTTTTCGATGAAATATTCTGATGTACACGTGTATGAAGACCATGTTAACAAAAAATAGTAGGGGATACTTGAACAATGGGACTGTTTATATTTAGTTAAAGATGGTGAGCTCAATTTTAAAGTGGATATGTGTACTGTAATAAAAGTTTTCAGTAGTGTTGAAACAACCTATCTATTAAGAAGGTGAAATTCAAAAAATCGAACTGTCTGTACCTTGAAAAAGTTCAGGGGCTGCATAGGGTGGACTGCCACAAAATGTGTCCAACTTTTGACCAGGGGCAAACTCATTACTGAATCCAAAATCTGCAATTTTTATGTTCATCTCACTGTCCAAAAGTAGATTCTCAGCCTATTCCACAGGATGACAGAGCAAATAAAAAGTTTTAACATATTATACTCTTTTTAGGAATGAAGAAATTACAAGTCTGTGTTCTTTTATGTTAAAACATTTTAACACTCAGTATCAAACTAGAAATTTAAGAAAACATACCAACAATTAACAAAGACTTTATTGTTAAGTTAAAGCTAGAAAAATTGTTGAAGTTACATAAAGCTCTTTTTATTCCCTTGCTTCCTCCTCATCTCATGTATGCTTAAGCCTGAGTCAAAAATGATTGCTTCTAATACTGTTATAATATTTTTCTTTATCCTGAAGAATAAACAAGCCATTCTCCTTTTATATTTCGTTTAATACTCAATGGGGTGTTTTAATTTGGAACACTAATTCTTAGGTAAATTGTGTAACATTGTCTCACCTTTTAAATTAAATCTTAATTAGTAGGAAGAAGCAATGCCAGCTAAGTGCAATTGTTTTCACCATAAGATTAACTTAATTTAAAATGTCTGAAAAATTAACAACAGAATACAACATTGAAATGACACAACCATTATAAAGTGTAAAATCTACATGTGACAAACAAATCTGGTGCCAAAATTAAATACCACATGTGTATGAATGTCCTATTTTTCTAATTACAATTACATTAATGCATATTTCTGAGTCAACTGATATGTGACTCATGTTTATAGATCATTAAATACAATCTTTTGACTTTAACATATCAGGCTGACAGATTGAATTAGGAAACTTAAATTTTCAGTTTCTCTTTAAGTATTGTTCTATCAAGTCTTGACTATTTCCACCATTTTATCTAAATACAGTGAAGAAGGTTTTGGAAACTAAAACTTAAGTGACTATTTAAAGTTTGTTTTTCACACTTGCTAAGACTGTTCAACTCATCCAATATACTTTCAAGATAATATGCAGAAAGTACCAGAGAGTACACTTGTTTTAAACAACAAAGAGTCAATATAAGTATGATACTACTAAAATTAATAAGATGTTCTTCACAAGAAGCATATAAAATGAAATAGTAAGACCAAGTTTTTTTATCAACACAATTTTATCATTTTTTTAGCTTTTGTAATAGCTTTTTACAAACTCATAGCACTAGATAATAAAGTACCTTACAACTATTTTTTATATAACAAGAATGAAATATAAATAAACTTACTTTTAAGTCTCTGTGAATAATTCTCTTCTGATGACAATACTGAAGAGCAGAGACAATCTAAATAATAATAATAATAAGTGGAAAAAAAATATATTATTTTGAATCAAGCTACACTACTGGTATCTTAGTCTTATAAGTAGATAGAATTAATTTTATAAAACTCTAGCACACATTAGTTACTAGCTCTCTCAGGTGGATATTGCAAGTTTTACAATCTAGTCATTAATTCTCTAAAGTGTGAAGAATTTGTTCTACATGATGATATATGGAAAATTTCTTCTGGTTCATTCCTTCTTGACTAGCACTATACAAACCTGTAAAACTGGATCAGTTTTAATGGCCAGTTTTCTGTAATATACACTTTGCAACCAAATAGTTGAAACCATATCTCAACAAACACAACTCTAGAAAATACTTTATTTAATACTGATGTCTTGGCAAACTCCTTTTTTCAAGTGCTCATTATGCCACAAACTACAAGTACTATCTAGTGTTTGAATGATGACAGAGCTAGAACAAAAATTAAATAAATACTATTCTCTTGGCTCTTAATAAGCTTTGAAATAAACATGTATTTACAATTTAAAAAAGTTTTATAGCTGCTAGGTTGGTCTAAATAGCTTATCTGTAATACCTTGCATATTTTTACAAATGAAAATTAAGTTATCACACAATGAAACTATCAGAGGAGACTTACTTGTCTGAACTTTGCTCTTGCTTCTTTCTCCTTCATTCTTCCATGAGCAACTAAGTAGTCAAACACTTCACCTGCAAGTTGCATTCTTAACATTGAATCAAAAGGTTGAACAAAATAAACCAATAACATACCTATAACTTACACCAAAAAAATCTGTACAAGTTGTATGTAATCAAACATTAGCACACTTATACTTCATGTTATAATCACGAGTCAATTTATACAACCAAACATATATACATAAATCTAAATCATTGACTCATTTATGCTGAAGGTAGTTTTACCTGCTGGATTAATGAAATATTTTGAAAATGGGTGTATCTAAGATGAAAATACTAATCAAAAAATTCATCCAAATTATACTTTTTATTCAGGGCACAAAATGAACTGTTTTAAATGCTACATTGGCACTGTCTTCAAATTTTTTTTATGTGCCAGAAGAGAGTTTTGGGTATTGAAAAAATTAACCCTCTAATAACTATAAGTATTCATTTATTACTAAGTTGTTTTTTTTTTTATCTTCAAATACATAAGCATTCACAAGAAATACTCAACATTAACAACTTCAGGTCTAGAAGCTTTCCTACATCAGGCATGTACCACAGAGCTTAGTAGGCTAGGCTACACATTTCAAATTATCAGTCAAGTACCAACACACATCTGAAACAGGGCTTAGTGGGCTAGGCTACACATATCAAAATGAATCTGCATGTGTAAACAATGAGATTTATTTTTATATATAAATCTAAATATTGTGCTTGAATTTCATATATCCATAGGATATATTAGCAGAGAGCCAAACTTCTGCTGTAGCAATGATACTAAACAAAGCATTATATACCTTAAATCTCCAACTTTCAAGTCTTGATCAACATTTATAAAGATCGATGTCTAAGCCTTCTGAGTTGTGATAGGATACCTACAGTACTATTACAACTAATGTTAGTCTAGACCTCAATATCATATAAGGCAAGTAATAACAACTATAATAAACTTGTACACACACACACAAACATATATATAATGCATGCAGAGAGTTAGCTAGTTTCAAAGGCATCATACAAACTACTGATTGCTTATATTAATAAGCAATATATAAATGCCATTACTTATACTACTAGTCACTTTCACTAGTTACTACTAGTTACTCTTTCAACCTATATAGGGTCGTATAACACAATTGCTGTGATATTTGTTATGTTAGTCACCCATATCCTTTTCCATTTTTACAAACCTTTTGGGATTTTTAGAAACAATTAGCACTGGAAGCATGTTTATTTCACATCCTGTTTTTATCCTAACTGAAAACAACAGATGTGTCCTAAACATAAGATGTTACACATTCAACATGCATCTTACATTATACAAAGGTTAGTTTGAGAACTTGCAACTTCTTGCTCATGTTACTAAGCATAAACTAGTTAATCAAGGGATGTCACAATTAAATATTTTTATACTCCTGGAAGTTATACAATAAATAGCATTTGAAAGGTTGTTCCTTTCAACCCTATAACAATGATGCCATTTTTACAACCCTTTCAGAGCATGTTACTGAGTTACATTCAACTTTTAACTAAACTGTCAATGTATTTAATGAAATTATTATCATCAAGAAAAATTATAATTCAAAGTTTTACATTATCTCAGATTTTATTCCTTTATTTCAAAAGAAAAGTTAAAAACTATTTAAAACAGACATTCAAAGTACAGCATATACAGGCTGTATATTAAAACATTCTAAGAACTTGTCCTGAAATTAAAACCACTGTAAAAAATCCTCAGACCAAGTTAAGCCATGCCCACTTGCAAAGTAGCTGTGTTGCTAAGCAACAGTTTTAACTTGAATGGCATGCTTATAACCAATAAAAAGAGCAGATTCCATGCTATATCTTGTAATGAAGTCAGGGAAGTTAGTCAATGTATACATTTTACTAAGGAAGTCAAAAGGAATCTTAGTCCACTACTTCATTAGTAATTGTTCAGACCACATGCTGGACACCATAAAAGGACAGAACAGAGAACTATAATAATAAAACCTCACACACAGAAAGAGAAACCAGGTGAGAAACAAAACACATATAATCATATTCTCTAGAGGACAATAAATTTCTTAGCAAGTAGAAAACTATGTCTTAGGATGGACAGAAAATGCTAAAAATTAAATAAGTGCACTGTTTACAGGTAAGACTTCAAATCTGCATAGAAATGAAACTTTGAACTTTTTTCTTTTTTTTTGAGAATTACACTGAATGTTATAAAATGAAAAAATAGGAATTATTTTTGAATTAAAAATGTTTAAATAAAGTTAGAATTAATATTTTTACTAACATTTTGTAATTGGTTATGCAAATGTGTACTAGATACTTTAAAAGGGTTTGCAGGTCAGGTTGTGGTAACTTTTTTTTCCCCCCACCAGCCAAAAAATATTAACCAGATAATTGGCAAACCAATGAACTAGATATATTATGTGCATTACTTATATTAGCAACAGAGTTAAAATAATAACTTGAAAACTCACCACCACTGGCATATTCCATTACAAGATACAAGGTCTTTTCAGTCTCAATAACTTGATAAAGTTTCACTGTAGTGCAACAACACAATTTATTATATTATCTACATACATATTTAAAAACATATTGATACTATATAAAAGTAACATTGCAGATACAATTTTATGTTAATATGATAAGGCAAAAGCTTGATAAATGTACAGGCTATATTACAACAAACATCTGTGATCAACTATAATTGATCAATATTTCATTTCTGTGTAAACTTGAGATTCCTCTTTATTATCACATGTTACTGTAATGAAGTATAACCAGTCAAAAGTCCATATATATTCTAAAATGGATAATTATCCCCATACTCATAAAATGAATAACAATAACATTTTTAGTGTTTTATTACTAACTTTTTGGTTCTTTTTAACTACTGTATATAAATTACCAGGGTTCACTCACCCTGTTCCACTTTACTAGAAACCAATGATAGGCTAATTTGGCAAAAATAAAATCAATATTAAGAATTTTTGATGAAAGTATACCCTACAGCCCTCTCCATTTGATACCTATTTAAAATTGAAGTAAATATCTCCTACAAAAGTTGATTAGCTAACTTCATTTTGCTGTCAATAATGCAATTCCGACCTTTCATGATCCCAACTGACAGTTTATGGTGCCTGGCCAAATCCCAGCATTCTACAATTTCTGTGTTAGACAATGACTGCACTAGTAATATTCTGCCATCATTCACCAATTAAAAACCAAAATATAGGTCAACACCTTGATCTCGGACACACTCAGGACACTACATGCAAACCTGCTAACTGCAATTTTCTGTAATTTGCAAAAAGTTTCCCTGTCCTTTTGCTATGGACTCCTAATAAATACTGCTACTTACAATTTTAATTAAGTAAAGTGCAGTTACTATTAACAAAAATCCACTGTTCTGAATATACATTTGAATATTCAAAGTAAAATGTATTTGAATTAGAAAGTAGTTAGGTTTTTTCATTTGATTTCAGCTACAGTCAAGGTGTACCTTAGGTATTTGAAATTAATATATTTTCCTTTTCCAACAGTTCCTTTTCAAAATGTAATATTGAACACAAATATTTCAATGACTTCCAAAAGAACTGAGTGATGGCCTAAATGACTTCTTCTAAAGCAGCATTTCCCAATCTCTTTTGACCACGGAACACTTTTCAGGTGAGAAAAAGCTTACGAAACACTAGACATGTGAAATATCAGTGTAGAGGGTATGTTACGTGTGCAGCGCTCTCTAGATTTGTATATTATTCATTTATTTATTTAATAAAATTACATATTAATGAATTTTTAAATTTTTATTCTTATAATATACTTTAGATACAAACCTCTCCACTAAGATATTATGTTGAATAGATACTGCATATTGCATATTCTTCTTCAATGTGAAATCGATATTATCTGATTCGAATACATAGGAAAATATTTCATAATAAGTTATGACCATAAAAAAGGGTTAAATATTTTATTAAAATTTAAAATCATGATTTTCTCAAGGAGCATCTATCTCGATTGGAACACCAGTGTTCCTTGGAACATAGTTTGGGAAATGCTGTTCTAAAGAGTTGGATTGAAAACAGTTATGGATCCAAACATAAATGAAAGGCAATATTGGGTTATTTTTGCCTAAACTAAATGTGACACAAAGGTTTGTGTAATGAAAGCTGTTTCATTAAATCTATTGCACTTCAAATTTTGGGATTTTTTCCCCCCTAAGATTGAGATTGGTGGTCAAAGTATTTCTTTAAAATACTAAAATAAAAAAAACTTTTGTTCCAGAGGCGGATGATCTTGACAATTATGCAAGATCTAATTTTAAGAGGAATTCAGCATTACATTCTAGGGGGAAGGAGTTGGAGAGTTTCAAATGATTAATGCTCTGATTTTTTATTGTAGCTCAAAGGCTATAGTACTCATCACCATTCTTCATTTTTGAATTAGCACTGTAATTTTACAGAAAAATTAAACATTTAAAGTTTTCAGAGAAATGGGAAAATTGCACATATTGTAAGCTAGCATATATATATATATATATATACCAAATAAATTAAAATCTGAACAAAATGAAAATAATACCTTGAGTTTTAAGAATGAATATTTGCAAGTAAGCCTATATATTTGCATTTGTTATTATCAAAATGGCAAAAGTACTTGTAGAGGTTTGTAGAAACTAATATTTTCTTAATTATGCTTTTTCATTTTAAATACAGAGAAAAGCCATAATTTCAGCAAACATTTCATTAAAATATTGTGAACAAAACTTCTAAGTATTAAAATATTTTGTACTGTTGGTTACAAAGAGTTCAAGAATCAATATAATGTAACAGGCAAGTAAACTCTGAGTTTGAGGAATTTGTAGGTAGAACTGCAACAATATATGTATGATTACTGTTGAGAGTTTGTTTAGTTAGTAAGTGATTTTCATAACAGATTTTAGGCCAATTGGGAATAATCATTTTATGATTGAAATTTAGTATAAAAACAAATCCCATTTTTTTCATTGGATGTGGAATTCATAAAATGGTGTTTAAACCATAACCTTTGAGTATATGGGAGTGTTTTTTGTGTCTAAACAACAGCAGAAAAACATTTAGAACTTAGAGCTTTGATAAATTGGAGAGAACTGTTTAATGCCAATATTATAAAGCTTTACAACAACCAAAAAAGTAAAATCTAATCAGAGATGGTACATAATTCGTAACATAAATACACACAAAACAGTTAAAGTAATTCTCTTTTAATAACTGTATGAAAGTACTAACAAAAATTTTGATATGCAAAAAAAATACACACATAGATAAAGGAAATAAAAACTCACCTATATTTGGATGATCGAGCATTTTCATTATTCGAACCTCTCTAAATAACTAGAAAACAAAATACATCGAAATTTAGAAAAATATTATACACGACAAAAAAATGGTATTTTTCTTTCATATGAACAGTAATTTGATTGCTAAATCTTTCAAACAGTCACAAATAATTCAGTGAGGATAATCCTACATAATTTCCTATAGAACAGAAGAAAGAATTTTTTTTTGGCATCATCAGACCTTCAAGAAATAAACACTTGTTTGACTCTTAACTAGTTACATGATCAAACAGCATTTGTTTACCTTTAAAAATTTTCAATTTCAAAAGACATCTGATTTTCATTAAAATTTGAAAACAAAAACTTTACAAAGGTTTTACAATACTTGACTTTAAAAACATGTAAATTATGTACTAATAGTTTTTTAATCAAAGAGAAATCAAAGCAACTAAATGATTATGGTAACTTTCCATTTCTCTTTCTTCAACTTATATGAAATTTGCAATAAAACATGCTTGTAAGATGGATACATGGTAGAGAGTAATATGAGCATGTGGTATTAGTACAAAACAAAAATACACAAGCCATATTGTATGTGTAAACCCTCCTTATCACATCACATGCTATATATGTATGTCTCTACATACATGGAAAATTCTTTAGTAATTTAATTATTCACATTTTCCACTCCTTGTGAAGACTTGGAGAATTTGGCAATTTTGACTTCTAATTTTTATTTTTTTATGTCATTAAAAGCAAATGAAGCCTATTTGTTCACAATTCCTTGTAGCATAAATACAGGTAAAACCTGACTAGTTATTATTCAAGCACAAATTACTAAGAAAGAACAAGGTGACAACACAAGTTATTGGACTTTATCGTTTCTCAAATACACAAAAAAACAATGAACAAGCACTGTGCACCAGTGTCACACTGTCTCATTTCATCAGTGAAATTTTATCATTTAATTGACATTTGTTTGTTATGAATACACTAAAGTTTAATTTCTTAAGCCTATAAAAAAAAAGTGTCTAACTAATCTGAATTTTAAAATGTTCTTAGCATTTTATGATCTTGATAAATACAAAAATGAAAACTTCTAAAATTATTTTATGTCAGTACAATTTTCAAAGTATTTTTTGGTGGGTGTGGAGGAAATATTTAAAATGCTATGTAGATTACTACCTGATATTTCACCTCTTTTTATACAGTAAAAAAAAATAATGAAATTGTTTTTGTAATTGCTTTCTAATCAAAGATAGATAACCCACAGCCTCAGTTGACACTTATAGCATAAACTACAGTGTGACATGTTATAAAACAAGAGTTACCAAACATATTACATACAAATAATAAAAATAGAGCAAACATGGCAGTTCAAAGTAAGAAAAAAAATAAAGCTCTGAATACAATTTCTTAAAACTAGTTGTGGTTAAAAATAAAAATACCCTGATGTATTCAAGATTGTAAGGTAATCTTAGTACAGTAGCCTAATAGAGTATCAGATCTTTATACATCTGTTAATCATTAACTCCCTTGCTATGGGTTCAGTCTATTCGACCAAGTTCATGACCCCAAATTGACACTTAGTTTCCATACTATAACTTTTAATTTGTTTTGTGTATCTTTATGAACTTTTCCAAGTTTTCAGTCTTTGGAGGCAAAAAAATCCTAATTTTCAATCAAGTATTTTTAATAAACATTTCTCCCTGAACATAAAGTCAAAGTGTTGACTGGTCAGAGTACAGAAATTTTCATGTTAAGATGAAGAAAAGTGTTTTAATCTGAAAATTGTCAAATTTCATTTGCATTATCTCTAAAACCTCCTAAGTAAATATCAAACTTTTTTTCAGAAAACTTTACATTTTATTTGTTATTTTGTCTACCCTACCTCTATAAGCATTCAGTCAATTAAATCAACCTTATAACCACCAGAAAAAATAAGAAATCTAAATTGCCCTTTGTCTCTCTCTAGAATGACTGCAAATTGTAACAGAAAATTGCACTTGTTTATTCTAAATAGCTTAAAGCTTGTAACAGTATAAAACTGTTTCTAATTAAATTTCATTGTTTTATTATCTTTTGAACTGTAGCTAACTAACTATTAATCCCACCACACAAACTTTAAATCACTCAGCAAACATGTAGCTCACATTACTATATTGAACTATGTAATGCATGATCTAGTTGCAAGCAGCATCCCTCATGAAGAATTTTTATTACTTTTCTTTATTGTAACTAATAGAACTTTATCTAACCTAATAAGTTTCTATTTTTTACATTTTAGTTACTTATATAATAATAAATAAATAAAGAATAAACATGAAAAACAAGATATACAGTATTTACCTAAATTTTTTTTTTTACTGTCAACTGTTGATAAAACTTGAGTCCACTTTTTATACTAATGTTACTACTACACTAACATAATTTTTTACTTAATTAAATAATACACTTAAGAACACAGAATAATAATACACAAAAAGCAATGTCCTATAATTATCATACTTTTTTGGCTTTCTAACTATAGATAAGAGCCTTTAAAAATTCAGCTAAGACAGTCAGTGATTCCAGTGAGAGGAAATTTGAAACTGAATCAGGAAATAGACAATTCTTTGTTAATAAAACAATGTAATGTAATATGCCACTTGATAGACCAAACCTCTGGCTTTCTGTTGGTTATAAATAATATAGTATAAAATGTCAGAAAGAACTATTGGCAATTTGTGAAAGAGAGGATTTGATAGGTGGGTGTGGCAGGTGGGTCTTACTTTCTAATTTATGGCTCCATAAACAAATAATATTAAAGGTTATAAAAATTATGCTTTCCCTGAGTAATATTTAAACTATAATGATTAATTTAAGTTCAATTCCATACTTCTTGGAGGAGTGGTAAATAAATTACAGAAGAGGAAAGGCTTAGAGAGCAAATGACAAATCTCATACTAGAGAAAGTTGATTTTTTTTAAATATATAAAACTAAAAGTTTGAATATTTTATGTAATATTAAAAATGGATTTATTAACTATGTTTTGATACCAAGTTTATTCATATACAATGATAATAAAGTAATTTTAATTATATTCTGAACTAACTCCATAAAGTCAAGACATGCACACTTTGACCTACTTGTAACAAGAAAGTTAAACATGTACACTGGGGGAGTAATTGTATTTCCAACAAATTTTTCCGTCACTTTTATAAATACTCACTCTAAATTTTTACATATTTTAAAATGTTATTGTTCCTAATAAACATAAATTATATTATAGAAATATATTTAGAATATGCAACTATAAACACTGTTTCAGAGAGTATTAACATACTGAGATTCCTCAAAGTTAGGACTATCATGTTAAGTTCAGGTAAGAATAGACAAAGCCCCCACACATTCTTTAAGCAAATTTTTTCCCACTTTTTCAAGTATATCAGTCACACTTTCAACAACAATGTTTTAGTGTTTGAAAATGCCACACTTTTGGTATATCAATATGAAACTTTTGAGAATATCAATACCCAAGGAATTATGCTCACCATAAGATACCAGTATTGTCAAATATTAACACTTGACATTAATATTATATTAATTAAATATAAATACTGTAGTATCAAATAATCATGGAACCCTACTGTGTTTATACAAATGAAAACCAAATTACCAATATTGGTTACATTAAACCACAAAACTAAATATTTAAGCAAAACAGTCACTCACTCCTAAACTGTTCACCATTGGATTCAAAGTCTAACTGCTAAACCTTGCCAAACAAAGCTAAAAATTGTGCTACAAGTGCTCAGCTCAAGTTACATAAAACACTTGCAGCTTGGGTGCATACCTTGCTGTGAAGTTTTTTAATTTTTTTTTTTAACCAAACACAACAAGTTTCTACTTTTTACATTTTAGTTATTTCTACAATAATAAATCAAAAATATACATAAAAAATAAGAAATTCAATACTTATGTTTGGCCTCTTGTTTTTTTGCAGCCTGCCAGTTCATGAAATTTAAAACTACTTTAATTATAATTACGGTACTAGTACATTAAATAATTTGTATTCATTTCAAATATGCACTTTGACTCTCACTTGTGCACACCAGGGTTCAGTTACACACAAAGTTGAAACATCCTGCATGGATAAAACATATCTACACTAAAATTTTATTCCAATACAAACAAAACATTTTTTAGTTCACCAAGCTTTTCACACAGCTTAGCATCTATCACTTTTCTTCCTTTAGCAGCTTGCCTGAGACTATTTAATTTCATTAACCTCAAAAAGTTCCTAGTCGATCCTGCCTTAACTGCAAAATTACCAGCAGATTTAATATACTCATCTATGTCTATTCTTATGGATCTGTAGTTATTCTTTAATTCACCAATTTCATCATTACAATTTTCCCATTTTCAATCTTGCTCAAGTTTGCTTCTCTTCATCACAGCACATGTAACCTCTCTGCCTTGTAATGGAGACAGAAAAAGAAACAGTAGCAGTTTTCTGATATCTAAATAATAGATTCCTCTAACATATTTAATCACATTGCAACACATGACTGTTTGGCAAGATGATCAACTTCAATTTGTTTATTGAAAAACCACATTCTTCATTTACTTGTCCATGGAAAAGTAATAACAGAGATCTCAAAACATGCCATAAATTTTTGTACTTCAAATCATTTGCCACAGTTTGGTAAAACCAAGCATACAGTAAATGGGTAAAAAATTAAAGAACTTCAATTCTTTTAGTATGCTATCAATATAGTGACTAAATTCACACAAATTATTGTCACAGTAGTTATCAGATATGCAATGAGTCTAAACAAACAAATGGAACATCCTTTTTGGTTTGCTTTGATAAGATATATTTTCATTTGTCACAACTCTTGGATCAAAACTGATATTATGTCCCAAGTAATACATCAGTTGTAACTTCTCAAATGTTATACATTGCATTCTAAATCCATACAGTCATTATATGGCAAATTTAAAAATTTTAAACATATTCTCAGTTTTAAAGTCAACATCAAGCTTCTTCCATGTGGGTTCTTGATTGCTCA